AAGCACATATCATTTGCCACATGCATATCATTTGTCACACACATTTCATTTGTCACACACATTTCATTTGTCACGCACCTATCATTTGTTACACTCATATCATTTGTTACACTCATATCATTTGCCAGACACATTTCATTTGTCACACACATATCATTTGTCACGCACTTATCATTTGTCACACACATATCATTTGTCACATGCATAACATTTGTCACACACATATAATTTGTCACGCACGCATTATCATTTGTTATACTCATATCATTTGCTACACTCATATCATTTGCCAGACACATTTCATTTGTTACACACACATATCATTTGTCACGCACCTATCATTTGTCACACACATATCATTTGTCAGACACATTTCATTTGTCACACCTATCATTTGTCAGACACATATCATTTGTCACGCACCTATCATTTGTCACATGCAGATCATTTGTCAGACACATTTCATTTGTCACATGCATATCATTTGTCACATGGATATCATTTGTCAGACACCTTTCATTTGTCAGACACATTTCATTTGTCACATGTATATCATTTGTGACACACATTTCATTTGTCAGACACCTTTCATTTGTCAGACACATTTCATTTGTCACATGTATATCATTTGTGACACACATTTCATTTGTCAGACACATATCATTTGTCTCACACATATCATTTGTCAGACACATTTCATTTGTCACACCTATCATTTGTCAGACACATATCATTTGTCACACACCTATCATTTGTCACACACATATCATTTGTCAGACACATCTATCATTTGTCACATCATTTGCATCATCATTTGTCACATGCATATCATTTGTCATCATTTGCACATCATCATTTGTCACACACCTATCATTTGTCATTTGCACATCACATGTCACACACATATATCATTTGTCAGACACATTTCATTTGTCACGCAGATTTTACTTGTCACATGCATATCATTTGTCAGACACATTTCATTTGTCACATGCATATCATTTGTCACATGCACATCATTTGTCTCACAAATTTCATTAGTCACACATATATCATTTGTCATACACATCACCTGTTGTGATTTCCTTATAAATAGTCTATTGCCATTTCAAATTTGGCACTGTTGCGGGGAATATTGATGACTTTGTCTACACAAGGAAAGGATTGCGAAAGTACATCAAGCTACGTTGAACATCTGTCATTGTCAAACATATTATATATCAATCACAACTCTCCCATTGGATTGTTTGAAAATAAGGACCAGTTTTGGTGTATGAAAAGAACTTCACTGTAAACGTATTATATCTCGCAGGTTTTATTTTCGCGCTTTTCGCGCAAAATATTTAACGCGAACATTTATACACAGCGAATAAACTTTTCATTCATTCACTCAAGTTTGAAGACAGAAATCTACGGGAGTCTTAAAATGACGAGTGATAGTAGCATAAAGAATCATACTTAACTGTCGCCGTAATGCATTTTAAAAAAAAATCGTGTCCAGACATGTTCTATTTTGACCAATCGTAGTGACAGATGGTTTGATACAAAACGGATTACCATGAAACGACTCGGAAAGAAATAATACAGCAGTATTTTATTTATTCATTGAGATTTTATTTATATTTATTCCTGCATATCACGAAATGAAATCACAAAGTCTGGAAGTCCAGGTGTCTTAGGGGATGATGCTTTCTTTAACCACATTCGCAATGCCATCGTCAGAATTCGGAACATAAGACTGATGTGTTTTTTCTTCTATTTATATAATATACTAGTACCATCACGATATCTCACTTCATAAGTACTTAATACTTCCGTTAGTAAACGTATTACTGTATATATCGCGCAGGTAGGGATTTCCTGAGAGTAAGCAATACACGCCGCCTGACAGGTTAAGCCACTCTGGTTGTTTTCATTGATATTAGCGGCGGCCTAAGAGACAGCTGGCAGTTCCAGCAATTACTGATTGCGCGAATAATTGACAGCGCGATGTAGTCTAAACTGTCAACTCCGCGAAATTTGCACCAAGCGAAAAAAAGTACAGTATCCTTTGCCGTTAACGTTTTGTATTTCTTGTAAATAATTCTTCCTGAATAAAATGCTATTCCAATCAATGTGAAATGACATTTTCTGTATGGAACTTGACTTTACAAAAATATGAGATATTATGCAAGCAATACATCTGAGGAGACTTTAGGATTTGTCTGACGTAGAATATATGTCAATGTCTGCAGATGTTGTTCCGGTAGACCATGAATGTTACATCAATGGCAGTATTTTCCTATTTAGCAATGGAATGTGACGACCGCAACATTAATTTTACAACTCACATTCAACACAATGATGAACCTTCACTTTACTGTGACAAAGCGAATGCCCTCTCAGATTTTATAAATGTCTTACCATACTGCACTGAAACTGCTTTGATGGAACCCAACAATCTTTCCGTCTCTTGACATCACCTGTTTCCAGACTGTCAGTAACAGATAGCTTCTTGAGATCACCTGTTTCCAGGGTGTCAGTGCCAGATGGTATCTTGAGATCACCTGTTTCCGGTGTGTCAGTGACAGATAGTTTCCTGAGATCACCTGTTTCTAGACTTTCCTAACAGATAGTTTGTTGAGATCATCCAGTGTGTCAGTAACAGATGGTGCCTTGACATCACCTATTTCCAGTGTGTCAGTAACAGATGGTGCCTTGAGATCACCTGTTTCCAGTGTGTCACTAACAGATGGTGCCTTGAGGTCACCTGTTTCCAGTGTGTCACTAACAGATAGTTTGTTGAGATCATCCAGTGTGTCAGTAACAGATGTGCCTTGAGATCACCTGTTTCCAGTGTGTCACTAAAAGAAGGTGTCTTGAGATCACCTGTTTCCAATGTGTCACTAACAGATGGTGTCTTGAGATCACCTGTTTCCAGTGTGTCACTAACAGATGGTGTCTTGAGATCACCTGTTTCCAGTGTGTCACTAACAGATAGTTTGTTGAGATCATCCAGTGTGTCAGTAACAGATGGTGCCTTGAGATCACCTGTTTCCAGTGTGTCACTAACAGATGGTGTCTTGAGATCACCTGTTTCCAGTGTGTCACTAACAGATGGTGCCTTGAGATCACCTGTTTCCAGTGTGTCAGTGACAGATGATGCCATGAGGTCACCTGATTCCGGTGTGTCACTAACAGATGGTGTCTTGAGATCACCTGTTTCCAGTGTCAGTAACAGATGATGCCATGAGGTCACCTGATTCCGATGTGTCAGCAACAGATGGTGTCTTGAGATCATCTGTTTCCAGTGTCAGTAACAGATGGTGCCTTGAGATCACCTGTTTCCGGTGTGTCACTAACAGATGGTGCCTTGACATCACCTAATTCTGGTGTGTCACTAACAGATGGTGCCTTGAGGTCACCTGATTCCGGTGTGTCACTAACAGATGGTGCCTTGAGATCACCTGTTTCCACTGTGTCAGTAACATATGGTGTCTTGAGATCACCTGATTCCGGTGTGTCAGTAACAGATGGTGACTTGAGATCACCTGATTCCGGTGTGTCACTAACAGATGGTGACTTGAGATCACCTGATTCCGGTGTGTCAGTGACAGATGGTGCCTTGAGGTCACCTGATTCTGGTGTGTCAGTAACAGATGGTGCCTTGAGGTCACCTGATTCTGGTGTTGACTACCTCCATCATTACGTCTGGATGCTGTAGTGTTCACTGAAAACACAGAGGAGTCATCATCTGTGTCAGTGTAACGCAAGTCCAGTCTACATAAACAACCGGTCGCCAGGAGAGAAATAGGGTAGTGGTTCAGCGCTCTGACACGGACAAACAGCTGCGATGAAAAGTAACTAACTTTTGTCTAAATGTAATGATGGTGAATATGATAACCACGATCATTATCATTAACAGCACCGTTATCTCCGTCATATATAGTCACCGGCAATTAATAGTTACGAGACATGCGGCCTTTGAAGTGGACAACTCTCGAACGGATCCGACTTTTGACCAATGTTCAAATTAACAGATTTCCTCACTGACTGGCAACTAACCCTTGTGACCACACGTCAGTGAACCTCTCTCTCATAATATAGTATGAGATTCATACACAAAGTGAGGTGAGGTGAGGTGAAATTGGGTTTAACGTCGTGCTTGAGAATATTTCGCTCATCTGACGACGTGCATGCGTGTGTATGTGTATGTGCGGCTGCTTGTACTATAACCTTCTAGCGCCTAACAGGCAGCTTGGGTTATCCAGGGTAATAAGAATCAGATTCTGATTAAGCGCCGCGAGCAATCACTTGGTGTTTGGAGACTGTGCGCTATAGAAGATGACGTATTATCTCCTTCACTTAGACCCATTCATTCTAAAACCCTTGTATCTTATGGTGGTCATGTAGATCCTTAAAAGACCCATATAGAACAAACTTTATGGATAACAACTTCTTTTTATTCGTGAGTGCGACGTTTCGATACATATTCTTGTACCGTTGTCAAGCATAATGGGACATGAAGAAGGGGGAAGTATATATATACTGGATGAAACAATGTAACAAAGAAAACAACATAATTAACGTATTTGGCTAGGCAGAAAGCTGATGAAGCCAGAGAGTAGACAAAGGACAGGCGTGGAAGCCAATGATATACAAGTGAGTGAGTGAGTTAATATTTAACGTCACATCGGCAATATTTCAGCCATTGATATACAAATAATAATGAGATGTTTATACAGCAGAGTTCATACAGTAGTTTGGGCTTGGTGGATGAATGCATCATAAACGGATGGAATGAAGTATCCTTGGTCTCGGTTGAGGGTGGGCATTTTGGCGTAATGCCACTCAAAGAACTTAAAAGACCCGTCAAGGTACGGGTTAGAATTGATCTTCTGCAACCCGTGCTTGTCGTAAGTGGCGACTAACGGGATCGGATGGTCAGGCTCGCTGACTGGGTTGACAAATGTCATCGTATCCCAATTGCGTAGATCGATGCTCATGATGTTGATCCCTGGATTGTCTGGTCCAGACTCGATTATGTACACACCGCCGCCATATAGCTGTAATATTGCTAAGTGCGGGGTAAAACTTAACTCATTCACTACCTACATCCTTAAAAAAAATCTTAATCTTTAAACCTGTAAAGTATCATGGTGGGAAATCGCTGAAATTTAGTGGCTATGAGATTGATATTGTATTGTCCCAATATAAAACTGTAAATAAGGCATACTATCTAATAATTACACATATTTTTAAAAGTAATTATATGGTCATTTTCATGAGGTAACGTGAATTACACTTTTATGGAGACGACATACTGAACATAAATTCTAAAAAAAGCTAAACCATATAAAAATATGTTCTGGGTATGGACAAACGGGGCAATAACTTATGTCAAAACTGTAATCTGTTTTGTTCACACAAGATGAATATTTACTTTGAAATATTCACTCAAAATGTCATACTATCATTGGAGACATGCACATTTTGGCGATTTTGACTAACGTTTTACCCTAAGTCACACATATAAAGAACAGATCATAAACAATTTCCATGTCTCGGGTACCTATCAAGCCTGTCGTCTAATATAGACAGGAAATGAACAGGTGAAATCAGTAAAAATTAATCTTTTCTGTGCAGGAACACATAAAATTAATGGTGCACATGTCGTGACAATATGTGCTACACTCATTACACTGCTGACATTTCAAGCTTCTCAAATCAATATATTCCATTGTGAATCTTCATATGTGTCTGTAGATTATCTGATCGTGCAAATGTTTTCCCACACTCAACACACTTAAAAGGCTTGATTCCACTGTGAACCCTCATGTGTCTCTGCAGATACACTGATTGTGTAAATGTTTTCTCACATTCGCCACACTTATAAGGTTTGTTTCCACCATGATTCTTTAAGTGTGTCTGCAGATTATCTGATCGGGCAAATGTTTTCCCACATTCATCACACTCATAAGGCTTGATTCCAATGTGAGTCTTCATGTGTCTTTGGAGATCATCTGATTGTGTAAATGTTTTCTCACATTCGCCACACTCATAAGATTTTATTCCATGGTGCAACTCCATGTGTGCCTGCATATGATCTGACCTTGCAAATGCTTTCCCGCAATCAACACACTGATAAGGTTTTAATCCACTGTGAATCTTCATGTGCCTCTGCAAAGTACTTGACTGTGTAAATGTTTTCTCACATTCAACACACTGATAAGGTTTTATTCCATTGTGAATCCTCATGTGTGTCCGAAGATAACTTGATTGTGCAAATGTTTTCTCACATTCAACACATTGATAAGGTTTGATTTTAGTGTGACTCCTCATGTGAGTGTGCAGATGACTTGATTGTGTAAATGTTTTCTCACATTCAACACATTGATAAGGTTTGATTCCACTGTGTATCCTCGTGTGTTTCTGCAGATGACATGATTGGGTAAATGTTTTCCCACATTCAACACATTTGTGAGGTTTTATTCCACTGTGAATCTTCATGTGTGTCTGCAGATTACCTGGTCGTGTGAAAGTTTTCCCACATTCAACGCACATATAAGGTTTTATTCCACTGTGAATCTTCATGTGTTTCAGAAGGTCACCTGATTTTGTAAATGTTTTACCACATTCACCACACTGAAACTGCTTTGCTGGTCCACAATCTTTGTGCTTCTTGTGATCACCGGTTTCCAGTGTGGAAGAAAGAGATGATGTTTTAAGATCACCTATTTCTGTCAGTTTTCTCTCACGGTTTATCACTGAAGTTGTTTCAGTAGGAGAACCAGGTATCTCCGATTGGCTGTGTACGTCCATCGTTACCGTCTGGATGTTGAAGTGGTCACTGAAAACATAAAGGAGTAGTTACGTTTCTTTCAAGGATGTTACCAAATCTATTCATGGTTGCTAGATTTATTTTTGGCCTTATAAAAAGTTAAAAATAAGTTAAAATGAATGTAAACCAGAGGCTCAAAATCAGACCCAATGCGTGAGGCCCTAGCATTATCACAGATTCTCTGTGGCAGTTTTCTAGTATTATTCATGCCTTCAATATTTCCGCAATGGTTGAAATGAGGCACAATCAGCCAAGTCTCAGCCATCCTGTTTTCAGGAATTAGATTACAAGTTCGTCGTTTTGTTCAGTATGTATCCGGGCGGTGGGGTAGCCCAGTGGTTAAAGCGTTGGCTCGTCACGCCGAAGACCCGGGTTCGATTCCCCACATGGGTACAATGTGTTAAGCCCATTTCTGGTGTCCCCCGCCGTGATATTGCTGGAATATTGCTAAAAGCGGCGTAAAACTAAACTCAGTCAGTCAGTATGTATCCGATTTAGTGAAAACAGCAAACTGACCTGACATGACGCGTTGGGCGGCCAATGTGACAACGACTTACATGTGTCGAAGCAGAAAAGTATTGTAAGGAAAAGTTTCCGTCCTTAGTTTCCTTCATTAAAGTATGAAAGGGGGTTATTCTCGTGACGGATACACAGCAACGGTATTCATATTCCATATCACTCACTAATAACCAGTTCAGTCCTGCCTATAGGATATGCATTAACAGCTGACTTTCATTAGAGTGTTGACTTTGTGTAGGGTAGCCCAGATTTGCGCGCTACACAGAAATATGGACCGGTTTGACTGTCCTGGACCACTTGCGCTACACGCCGCACTACAGGGACAAGTCAGGGTTGCCATTTTCGTGAGGAATTTTCCCCGGTAGATTTATGACGCCAGTCCTCGATCCACGACAAGATTGGACCGAGACCCCATTTTCAGGAGGATTTAGGATAGTGATGTATTACGATATTGGTACGCGCACTGTGCTGAAACAAACCAGTTTTACCCGTATCCCGATGAGTCGCTGTCATTATCCGCCATGTTGGAAAATACCCCATAGGCTATATTTAGCTCCTATCTTTCGACCAATGAGCAATGCCCTTGTGGCGATGTTAGGCGGCGACAGGGAGGGCATCAGTCATCAAGGACCACAGTTTTCGCATTATGTCGGAAAGCGCACGTAAAATCTTTAAATCATCGCCGTAAGAACAAGTCTTTGCCATTAATATGGCATAGTCCCCCGCCGCTAAAAAAGAATGAAATATTATATATTCACTAGTTTTTGTCTTTTGGTCACATAACAGATGACCTTTTGTGTGATGTAGTTTTTCGTCATGGTCACTTCTCAGAATCATCTCCTAACTCCTAAGGTATTTGAGGAATATACATGTAGTAGATTTGTAGGCAGATGCACATATCCACTGTCAGCATCAGTGTGAGTACGTGAGATGTGATCTCGTATATTCCGTTTGGGTTCAAATGAGAACGATGAATGATTAAGTATCTCGAAATGGGGATAAGTGCACAAAACATAAATAAGACACGTGATCCTGAAACTTCTGTACCCAGCCGAATCTGAAATCTGACGTTTTATGATCGATCGCGGAAAAGTTGTTTCAGAAACCATTACGTAATATTGTGCTATTTTCACTCTTCACACTGACGGGTGACCAACGGCTGGTGCAACAGAACCAGCACACATTCAGGTGCAACTCAGCACAACTAGGTGAGATGACCCAGTTGGTCAGGCGCTGTTCCATCAGTCGCTTGTCATCCCCCGATGTGAAGCGTGAAAATAGCACAATATTACACGATAGCTTCTTAAACAATTTTTCCCGTGATCGATCCAAAAACGTTTCAGATCATGTTGGGTACAGTGGTTTCAGGACCATGTGTCTTGTTTATGTGTTGTGCACTTATCCCAATTTCGAGTTATTTAATCATTTGTCGTTCTCATTTGAACGCAAACGGACTATACATGTCAACACACCGACCAGTAAGCCCAACAACGACGGCTGTATAATACTGGAGTTTTGTATAATAGTAGTATAGGGACTGGGATATATCATATAACAAAGTAAGTCCACCACAGCATCATTTCGAGTAGAATTTCCGGCTGGCAAATAGCAAACACAAGTATATTTGTGGTCCAGTGATATTCTGATTCCAAATCTATCCTTGTAATGCCCTCAAATACCTTGCGTAAAACTACTCTCCTTGACATCAGGAAGGACGTCCCACCTGGGATAAGAGGTGAGAGGAAAGTGGGTTTAACGTCGTACTCCAGAGTATGTGTGGCTGCTTGTACTCGCCCAGACTTTTGCTGGTTCTACAGTGGTAGCTCACTGAGAGACCATCTCGCAGTTAAGCATGCACACCCCACGTAGACACATTATACTGACTCTCATCCGCTCTCCGGGAGGACGCTCTAATCACTACATCACGGAGGCGGTTTGGTATTTTTAATTTTAAAAAAACCATCCAAATCTAAATGGACTATCCCAAAATGAACTTATGATAAGTTAAAAAGAACAACTTAAATATGGGTGGGGATTTCTTGATTGTTAGTATATCTATGTGTGACACCATCAAGGTTTGTGTGTCAAACAGCATTAGTTTTATTATTCGAATAATATACACACAGTTACAATGTGTGTGTGTGTGTGTGTGTGTGTGTGTGTGTGTGTGCGTGCGTGTGCAAATGACTTTTTATCAATTTTGTGAATGTTCTCTTCAGCGAAGCTGCAGTTTTATTCCAGAGTATCTGAAATGGGAAATCGAGAATACACTAACAAGAGTCAAAGTGCAAGGAGGTCAGATGCTACTGATGTAGAACCATGATGTTGTGGGGTATTTGCAGAAGATGGGCTACGAAACGTATGTGATGACCACTGGAATCTACATTTCCTCCACTGTAAACGTTTAATGGCCAATATGGTCCACCAGATATGGGTTTCACACGTTGTACCCATGTGGTGAATCGAACCAGGGCCTGCGGCATGACAAGCAAACACTTAAATCACTAGGCTACCCCACCGCCCCGTGTCTCTGTCATCTGATTGTGTAAATGTTTTCTCACATTCGCCACACTTATAAGGTTTTATTCGATTGTGGATCCTCATGTGTTTCAGAGCGCGTGAGTGAGTTTCAGTTTTACGCAGCACTCAGCAATATTCCAGCTATAAGGCGGCGGTCTGTAAATAATCGAATCTGGACCAGACAACTCAGTGATCAACAGCATGAGCACCGATCTACGCATTAGGGATACCCGATCCGGTTAGTAACTTACGACGAACATGGGTTACTGAAGATCAATTCTAACCCGGATCTTCACGGGTCTGTGTTTGAGAAGGTCACCTCATTTTGAACATGTTTTACCACTCTCGCCGCACTGAAATTGCTTTGATGGCATCAAACTATCTTGGTGTTTCTTCAGATCACCTGTTTCCTTTGTGTCAGTAATAGCTTGTTTATCGAGATCACGTTTTTCTCAGTTTTCTCGCACGGTTTCTTATAACGCATGTTTCAGTAACAGAACTATGGCTCTGTGGTTGGTTGTATACTTCCATCAATCACTTGTTGGTGTTCCAGTTTTCAATGGAGGTGAGGTGAAATTGGGTTTTACGTCGTGCTTGAGAATATTTCGCTCATATGACGACGTGCATGTGTGTATGTGTATGTGCAGCTGTTTGTACTAGCCCAGACTGAAGCTGGATTTATAGTGCTAGCCCACTGAGATACCATACCGCAGTGAGGTGAGGTGAGGTGAAATTGGGTTTTACGTCGTACTTGAGAATATTTCGCTCATATGACGACGTGCATGCGTGTGTATGTGTATGTGCAGCTGCTTGTACTAGCCCATACTTAAGCTGGTTTTATAGTGCTAGCTCACTGAGATACCATGCCGCAGTGAAGCATGAATGCCCCGCTCAGACACATTATACCGACTCCGAGCCGACCAGTCCTTGTTGTACATTAATGCCGAGCGCCAGGCAAGTGAAAATATTATTCTACCATTATCACGGATTGTAGTTTTCTAGTGGTATTCATTGCGTTCTATTAAGCCGCAACTCCCAGTATGTAACAATGGTAGAAATGAGATATAATCATAGAAATGTCTGTCACGTTTTGAGATGTCCGTCTAGTTCTTTACGAGCGAGTATGGTTTAGCAATATTCCATCAAAATCACGGCGAGGGACACCAGAAATGGGCGTCACACACTGTACCCATGTGGGGATTCGAAGCCGGATATTCGGCGTGACGAGCCAACGCTTTAACCACTAGGCTACCCCACCGCCCCTAGTTCTATGTAATATGTATACATACGAATGCGGAAACGGAGGCTGTGACAACGACTTATATGTCTTGAAGCATGAAAATATTGTCAGGAACATCATCTTCCTTGGATTCCTAAACTAAAAGTATGTAGAGGAGTTGTTCTCACAATGGATTCATTGCTACAGAATTCATAACGCCAAGATGATCAACGTTTGAAGTGTGTAATCTCGTGATCTTCCACTTGAGTGTCTTTTTTGTGTTCGGGGGACGGTGGGGTAGACTAGTGGTCAAAGCGTTCCCTAGTCACGCCGAAGACCTGGGATCGACTCCCCACATGTGCACAATGTTTGAAGCCCATTTCTGGTGTGCCTCGTCGTGATATTGCTTAAAGCGGCGTAAAACTAAACTCATTCACTCACTCTTTGTGTTGGGTATCCTGGCAATGATGGTATGGAGATTCTACGAGCACTTACCGACATAGCGGTCATGATGATGATCGTTTGGAGAGTCGACAAACAATTGCTTATAAACAATGTTGCACTGTAAGGTTTTAAAGACAAGGCCTGTTGACCGATTCATTTCTATTGAAATTAAGTATTGAAGCATATAACTGCAAAAGTCAAAGGCCCAAAGAAAAGTAAAAAAAGCTGAGTAAAACCTCAGGCTGTCAGTCAGCCATATTGATATTAAATATACATAACCCAGATTGGCGTACTTTTACCTTTTCCCACGCGTAGACACTTAAAGATGTTAAATAACGTTAACGTGCAAGCCATGTGTAAGAACAAATTAGAACAAATGAACAAAAGAACAAATGCACATGTCAACAGTAAAAAGTGAATGGAAATGAACACGTATGCATGTGCTGTTTCATAAATTCAGTGTTTGGGGGCAATCATCTCGAATAAGTGCATGGAGCACTAAAACGTCAAAGACTGATGTCGATTTGGTAAGCATGATCATTTAAGACTTGTTCGTTCCAAACATTAAACATATAATGCACCATAGATCATGACGTGACGACTGCACAACGTCAAAAGGATACTTGGATGGTCATTATAGGAATTTCTCAACATCAGGTGGCTGCACATTTCCATTGCTACAGGAACCCTAGTTCAGCACTGGTGATACTTTAGAACAAGAACAATCGGAACAATAATGAACTTTGATTACACAGTGTCATTTAGAAAGTGGTCAAATGTAACATGTGTTATATTTGGGATTACACTTTCTCAGTAAAGTACAGATTCTAGTACTCTTGTTGGGTTGAGTCTCATCCACGATTAGAACCCACACCCTGGGCTTTGATCCTCAGAGTCAGGCACCTAGTCCCCAACACACAAAGTCAGCCGCCTAACCCACTCAGCCACTGCAACTTCCACAAAAATGGAAGTCGGATAACTGGTAGTCGAGACTGCGGACAATGTGTACCCCCTTTGATAAGTGTAAATTGCCAAGGCTCCCATGGCCGAAGGCTCCATGATTACACAGTGCCGTTTAGAAAGTGGTCAAATGTAAGATGTTATATTTGGGATTACACTTTCTTAGTAAAGTACAGATTCTAGTACTTTTGTTGGGTTGAGTCCCATCCGGGATTCGAACCCACACCCTCAGAGTCAGGCACCTAATCGCCAGCACACAAAGTCAGCCGCCTATCCCGCTCAGCCACCGCAACTTCCACAAAAGTGACTGTGTGCTGGCGGTTAGGGGTACACAAAGTCCGCAGTCTAGACTACCATTTGTCCGACTTCCATTTTTGTGGAAGTTGCAGTGGTTGAGTGGGTTAGGCGGCTGATTTTGTGTGCTGGCGACTAGGTGCCTGACTCTGGGGATCAAAGCCCATGCTATAATTAGTGAGTGAGTGATTTTAGTTTTACGCCCCTTTTAGCAATATTCCAGCAATATTACATCTGAGGACTTCACACATTGTACCCATGTGGGAAATCGAACCCTGGTCTGCGGCATGACGAGTGAAGGCTTTAACCAGTAGGATACCTCACCATCCCATATGCTATAGTTAAATGAGTATCTGATAACATGTTGACGTATTTATCATTTATCTGTTATAATGTTTACACTCATTACTCTGAAGAGATTTCATCTCAAATCAATTGGTTTCACTGTAAATCTTCATGTGCGTCTGCAGGCACAAACAACCTGACCATGCAAATGTTTCCCACATTCTTCCCTCACATTTCATAGTGAATCATCATGTGTGGCTGATTGTGTAAATGTTTTCTAACATTTATTACACTTATACAGCTTGATTCCACTGTGAACTCTCACGTGTCTCTGCAGACAATCTGATCTTGCAAATGTTTTCCCACATTCTTCACACTTATAAGGTTTAATTCCATAGTGAATCCTCATATGTGTCTGCAGAGTATCTGATCGTGCAAATGTTTTCCCACATTCATCACACTTATAAGGCTTGATTCCACTGTGAATCCTCATGTGTCTCAGCAGATCTTCTGATTTTGTAAATGTTTTCAAACATTCTCCACACTTAAAAGGCTTGATGCCACGGTGAAACTTCATGTGTGTCTGCAGATTATCTGATCTTACAAATGTTTTCCCACATTCATCACACTTATGAGGCTTGATTCCACGGTGAATCATCATGTGTTTCTGCAGATGACCTGATCGTGGAAATCTTTTCCCACATTCAACACACTGAAATGGTTTTATACCACTGTGAGACTTGACATGTCTCTGCAGACTACTTGATAGCGTAAATGTTTTCCCACATACAACACACTGATAAGGTCTTATTTCACTGTGACTCTTCATGTGTGTGTGCAGTTGGCTTGACTGTGTAAATGTTTTCTCACATTCAACACACTGATAAGGTTTGATTCCACTGTGAATCCTCATGTGTGCCAGCAGTCCTGATGACCTCGTACATGTTTTACCACACTCACCACACTGAAACTGCTTTGATGGTCCAAGACTATCTTGGTGTTTCTTGAGATGACTTGTTTCCACAGTAACAGATTGTTTCTTGGGATCACTTCTTTCCAGTGTGTCAGATACAAATGGGTTCCCGAGATGACCTATGTCCAGCCTGTCAGTTAGAGATTGTTTCTTGAGATCATCTATTTCAAGTGTGTCAGGAACAGATTGTTTTATGAGATCACCTGCTTCCCTCAGTTTTCTCTCACGGTTTATTGTAAAGGATGTGTCAGTAACAGAACCAGGAGTCTGTGGTTGGCTTCCTACTTCCATCATTAACTTCTGGATGTTCCAGTGTTCACTGAAAACATAGATGAGTTGTTACTTATCTTCATGACATTATAAAATGTTTCCACAAGATTGTCATTAGATCTATGTATGGTTCAATATTGTACTTAAAACAATGAAAATAATGGATTCTCACATGAATGTAAACCAGAGGCCAAATACCAGAGCCTATGAGTGAGACCCTATCATTCTCCCACTGTCATGGATTCAAAGTGGTAGTTTTCTAGTAGTATTCCTGGTGTTCCATTAATCCACAAAACCTGGTATGTAACAATGCTAGAAATGATACGTCATCAGAAAAATCAAGTTTTCAAAATAATGACAAGACAATACATGTGTTCATCTAGTTCTGTGTAATATGTATACGAATGTGAAAACAGCACTGTTCTAGTGGACGCTAACTAGCTAAAAGATATAACACTTATTTTCTAATTTAGAACTCAAGAACAAAACGTGAGGACACATATTTACACTGATTTATCATTTATCTGTTATGTTTACGCTCATTACATTGATGAGTTTTCAATCTTATCAAAGCAATTGATTTCACTGTGAATCTTCATGTGTGTCTGCAGATTATATGACCGTCCAAATTTTTTCACACATACATCACATTGAAATCACTTTATTTCACTGTCAATCCTCATGTGTCCCTGCAGAGCACTTGATTGTGTGAATATTTTCCCACATTCAACACACTTGTAAGTTTTTATTCAACTGTGAATTATCTTGTGTCTCTGCAGAGTAATTGACTGTGTAAATATTTTCTCACATTCACAACACTTTAAAGCTTGATTGCACTATGAATCCTCATGTGTCTCTGCAGATAAGTTGATTGTGTAAACGTTTCCTCACATTCTTCAGATTTATAGCTTTTTATTCCACTGTGAATCCTCGATATGTGTGTGCAAATGATTTGACTCTCTAAATCTTTTCCCACATTCACCACACTTGTAAGGCTTGATTCCGCTGTGAATCTTCATATGAGCTTGCAGATAATCTGATCATGAAAATGTTTTCCCACATTCAGAACACTAATGAGGTTTCATTCCAGTGTGAATCTTCACGTCTCTGCAAACTACTTGTTTGATTCAACCGTTTTTTTCCTCCGTAAATCTTCATGTGTCGCTGCAAACTACTTGATTGTGTAATGTTTTCTCACATTCAACACACTGATAACCTCTTTAATGTCACTGTGAGTCCTCATGTGTGTCTGCAGATTATCGGATTGTGCAAATGTCTTCCCACACACTGCACACTTACAAGGTTTTAGTCCAGTGTGAATCATCATGTGTGTGTGAAGATTACTTGCAACTGTAAATGTTTCCTCACACACAATGCATGGATGAGATCTGATTCCTCCATGAATGCTCATGTGAGTCTGCAGAGTTCCTGATTCTGTAAATGTTTTCCCACATTCAACACACTTATAAGGTTTCATTCCAGTGTGAATCCTCATGTGTCTCTGCAGATGTTCTGACCGTACAAATGCTTTCCCACATCCATCACACTTGTAAGGCTTGATTCCACTGTGAACCCTCATGTGTCTCTGCAGAGCACTGGATTGTGTAAATCTTTTCCCACATTCACCACACTTGTAATGCTTGATTCCGCTGTGAATCTCCATATGAGCTTGCAGATTATGTGATAGTGCAAATGCTTTCCCACATCCATCACACTTGTAAGGCTTGATTCCACTGTGAACCCTCATGTGTCTCTGTAGAGCACTGGATTGTGTAAATCTTTTCCCACATTCACCACACTTGTAAGGCTTGATTCCGCTGTGAATCTCCATATGAGCTTGCAGATAATGTGATCGTGCAAATGTTTTCCCACATTCATCACACTTATAAGGTTTAATTCCAGTGTGAATCGTCATGTGTGTGCAAAGATTACTTGATGCTGTAAATGTTTTTTCACAAACAATACACAAATGAGGCCTGATGCCACCATGAACCTTCATGTGTGCTTGCAGAATACTTGATTGTGTAAATGCTTTCCCACATTCATCACACTTATAAGGTTTTATATCATTGTGAATCTTCACATGTCTCTGGAAACTACTTGACTGTGCAAATGTTTTCCCACATTCATCACACTGATATGGCTTGATTGCACTGTGAACCCTCAAGTGTGTGTGCAGATGACCTGACCGTGCAAATGTTTTCCCACATACAACACATTTATAAGGCTTTTTTCCACTGTGAACCTTCATGTGTCTCTGAAGACTACTTGATTGTGCAAATGTTTTCTCACATTCGTTACACTGATAATGCTTGATTGCACTGTGAACCCTCAAGTGTGTGTGCAGATGACCTGACCGTGCAAATGTTTTCCCACATTCAACACAATTATGAGGTTTCTTTCCACTGTGAATCCTCATATGTCTCAGCAGACTACTTGATTGTGTAAATATTTTTCCACATTCATCACACTGATAAGGCTTGACTCCACTGTGAATTCTCATGTGTGTGTGCAGATAACCTGATTGTGCAAATGCTTTCCCACATTCAACACAATTATGAGGTTTTTGTCCAATGTGAATCTTCATGTGTCTCTGCAGACTACTTGATAGTGTATATGTTTTCTCACATACAATACACTGATAAGATTTGATTCCATTATGAATCCTTATACGTTGCAGACGGTCCCCTGACTTTGTACATGCTTTACCACCATCACCACACTGAAGCTGCTTTGATGGACCCAGCTTATCTTCTTGCTTCTTGAGATTGCCTGTTTCCAGAGTGTCTATAGCAGACTGTTGCTTGGCATCACCTGTTTTTTCCAGTGTGTCACTAACAGATTGTCTCTTGACGTCATCTGTTTCCAGTGTGTCACTAACAGATTGTCTCTTGACATCATCTGTTTCCAGTGTGTCACTAACAGATTGTCTCTTGACGTCATCTGTTTCCAGTGTGTCACTAACAGATTGTCTCTTGACATCATCTGTTTCCAGTGTGTCACTAACAGATTGTCTCTTGACGTCATCTGTTTCCACTGTGTCACGAACAGATGGTGTCTTGAGATCACCTGTTTCCCTCACATTTCTCTCATGGTTTATCATAACACATGTTTCAGTAACAGAACCAGGAGTCTGTGGTTGGCTTTCTACTTCCATCATTAACCTGTGGATGTTGTGGTGTTCACTGAAAAAATAAAGGAGTTGTTAATTTTCTTCATCACGTTATCGCATTTCCTGAAGAATGGCACAAGATCTATTTATGGTTTCAGACTGTTTTGGAAAAATGAAAATAAGTTGATTTTCATAGACTTTTCACTGATGAATCAAGATACTGTCAAGGCTTTGCAGACCTTTGGAACTGAGTGTTCTGCTGACAAGGAGAAGGATCTCAACATAACAAACATCTGCTATGGAGGTGGTTCAACCATGAGATGGATCAGTAGAGCATGAAGTACTGATCTCCATATGCTACAGGAGACACAATGACAGGTATGCAATTCTGGGTTGACATACTTGATGAGCACAGATGACCAATTACTAGTACTAATGGACAGGATTTCATCCTCATGGACGGTATTACACATCTTCATCATGCCATGTTAATGACTGCAAGGGCAATGAGCCGCCAGCTTGTATTGATATTGTTTGTTGTTTCTGTAACCAGCATGATATGATGTTGTTATCAATACTTTGTTACTACTGTCTATTTCAATAGGCATTGCTCATTTTAGCTCCATTGAATTATATTTTATGCATGTACAGTCATCCCTCGCAATAACGCTCTTCGCGATACCGCGGATTCGGTTAAACCGCGGGGTAAACCGTGGCTCCCATAAAAGTTGCCCAGTGATCACACATATTCACGTGATCGAAAATAGCACATCAACAAATCCGCTGTTGAGCTCTGGTTAATCACGTAGTAAACTAGTGAAATTCAGTGCGGATTGCAATTAACAGTGTTTATCGTATATATCCATGTTTTTTCAGATGCTTAAAACATGCAGGGTCTTTTTCAATAATAATTGATGAACAGCATGAAACATCGTAATAACATTATCATAAAGACATGTCGATTATCAGCCGAGTACTTACTGTAAACGTATTATATTTCGCGCAGGTTTTATTTTCGCTTTTTCAAGCAAAACATTTTAGCGAAAATCATATACACCGCTAATAAACCTGTCATTCATTCAGTCTAGCCACGCTCGCCCCTGAGTTGTTACCATAACACAAGTTTGAAGACAGAAATCTACAGGAATCTTAAAATGACAACTGATAGTAGCCTAAAGAATCATACTTAACTGTCGCTGTAATGGATTTCCCAAAACATAATTAAATAATGAGCGAAATCCCATCGCGAATTAGCGAAAACAGCCATGTGTTGTGGCCGCCATGGAAATTGGTCACATGACAGATGGTTTGATACAAAACAGATTACCATGAAACGACTCTGAAAGAAATAATACAGCAGTATTTTATTTATTCATTAAGATTTTATTTACCAGTACATCATGAAGCGAATAGTCACTAAACACTCAATCATCTCATTCACAACAACCCGGCTTGTTTAAAATCACAAAGAGCTTCATATACAGTAGAAGTTAATTCGTCAGATCGTCAGAATTCGGAACATAAGACTGATGTGTTTTTCATCACTTCCGTGAGTGTACTAGTATATCGCACAGATAGGGATTTCCTGTGAGTAAGCAATAAACGCCGCCTGACAGGTTAAGCCACTCTGTTTGTTTTCACTGCTATTAGTGGCGGCCAAAGAGACAGCTGGCAGTTTCGGCAATCACTGATTGCGAGAAAAATTGACCGCGCGATGTAGTCTAAACTGTCAATTCCGCGAAAATTGCACCACGCGAAAATAAGTACGTTTACAGTACAATGTTTGCTATGATGCAACACACCGTGTAATTGCCCGGGTATACACAGCCATCCGAGAATGTATGATGTCAGAAAAAACATTTTATTTGATTAAATTCAATCCCATTTTCATTCATTAAAACTGTTTACAATAACAACAGAGAAACCGTGAGTGAAATGGCATTACCTCATTCGTGAGGGTCCGCTTTTCAGCGCCTACCGCGATAGCACCAATTTCACATTTTTCTCAGCAATCACGAACAGATTACAGCCTTGTCATCCATTGACCCCAAGACCCGCGTTATTGACTCGTTGAGGTCATATTTGACAATTAATTGCCAACATTTTGTTTTTACAATCAAAGTGGCACGTATCGCGGGAAGTCAACGGTGACTTGTCAAACTGTCTCCTACGTAAATTGTATCCAGCCAGGTAACCCAAAGTGCTTAGCAATGCTTATTATTATGTTAAATATGTTCGTAGAAAACATGCATTATACTTATACGATAGCAATATATAAGATCTCTGTTAGAATAACTGCTTGACATATCAATTATTCTGATAATGGAATAGAAATTCGTGGATGTTATATTTACGGATCGTTTTTAAATGAATCACCGGTACATTGGACCAAAACATTGATGTGTGCCCAGCTGATTGCTATTTCCGGCTTAGTTGAATAACAGGTAGCATGACAGGAACAACAATTGAATTATCATGTCTTGTGGTGTTTGATTGCAAGTTTCATGTACATACATCTATTTTTTTATTTACAAAGTTGTTGTATTTTCCACCTCCAACAATACGATATAGTTTTGACTGGGCACAATACACGAAATAGCAGTTTTGTTATGTCCATGGAAAATACGATTTTACTTGGCCTTTGTTCCGCGTTATGTAATCGTTACTTATAACGCGGGTGTCTAATAACGCGGGGGGTCATCCATGGACCCCAAGACCCGCGTTATGGCGAGGGATGCCTGTATATACAAATGAGATGTTAATAACTTGTCTGTCTTTCTGACTGTCCTACGTGCCAATGTGGGGAAATAAGGACAGATCTTGCAAGGTCTCATCCTCCCACTCACTAATGCCAAAGGTAACTTTTCTTCCTCCAGTCAACCATGTGTCTTCATTAGGGCTGGGATGGGTCCAAATTTCCTACTCAGGTACCCGACCCCCCTACTACCCGACCTCACCCGGGCACCCATTATAACACTAATTGTGAGTTATTCCCCTTCAATAAAATCAGTTATGGCCGACATTAAGAGTGGCGTCTGGACATATTTTGAATACTCGCATCAGGCACAAAGACAAAATGCACTTTGTGTACAGTGCAGCTGAGTCAGAAAGGAGGGAGTACGTAATCGATGTGGAAACATCTGAACAACAAACATCCTTCCGTAACAAACCAGGAGCTACAAACAGATGCCATTCCAATCTACAGGCAAAATACAATTGACGGTAATAAATAACAAGTGTATACCATTAAACTAACAAGTAAACGATGTAATGTAAACAAAGTTTTCAAAGTAAATACCTCTCTCCCTCTCCCGTGGACTCATAAACCAATCACAATAGTCAGACAGACAGACAGATTGCTTATTTACGTCTCACCATATGTACATTAAAATAAATAATAATACATATAAAAATATACAGTAAATATTATACATGGAGTTATGAGAGACGGTTGATAATTAAATATCACAGAGCAATATACTGGAAGCATATGAGTAGATAAAAAAGACAATTGAACTTAAGAAAATATATACAAAAATACTAACATGAAATGTTAAACTTATTTATATGACATTTGTCCGCGTCTTATAAGGGTTTTAACATGTTTAAAGCAGGTTTTGGCACATACGTTTATAAGATCTTGAGAGCATAAAAGGAGTGATGACTTCTCAGGTTCCAACAAGAGGGTAAAACGTGGCATGAAAAACTTTGCTGATGTTAAAAGGTCTTCTCTTAAATCGTCATAAAGTGGAGATTTCAATAAAACGCTGTTCCGATTCAACTCGATTTGGGCATTGAAAACATCTTCTATCTGTAAGTTCGATTCCTTCAAAATGACCGGTTTCTATACGCGGAGGCGCTGTACCTGTCCTGAACAAAGCGAGGGCACGTCTGTGAGACTTTGAGGTGTTAAAACATAGGCATCTGTTATATCAAATATTTAATTATTGATTCTAAAGCCCTTGTGTCTATGCGAGGCATAAAGATGTTTTTTATAAATACATAATTTTTTTAGATGACCCCGACTCAAAATGCTTCACAATACAATACATCATGTATTGTACTGTGAAACATTTCGAGTCATTTCAGAACAATAATTTTAACATTTTTAAGCCTTGCAAAAAACTGCCAGTTTGTTTTTCCTTGATCGTCGTTTTGCGTTCTCCAGGTGTGATGAATTTTCCCATATTTTTATACAAGCTTGTAACAATAGTTTTTCACAGTTTCTTACAGTGATGATGTTATTTAAAAGAGCTTCTTTGGTGATTCCCAATGTGTTCATTCGCCAGTAAAACGCTAAGTGCCAAGGCTTGTGTCTGTTCCGTACTTGATTATTTTCCCAATTACAAAAAAAAAACATAGGGCTCTGTACGTTCTTGGTCCATATTCATCATTCTCCTCCAGTAACGAATCAAGCATATATCTTGTCGTACACTTAGTTGCAGGGTTCCATCCCATGTCACCAATAACTTCCATAGCCTCGATAGCCTAGACCTAGGTAAAATCTCATAGCACAGTTTTGCACTGCGTTGATCGATGAATAGTCCAATCTCATTGAAGATATAAATATCTTGTAGATATATATTTTAATTATATTTTAGCGCTTTCGTGCTCTTTAAAGACTTTTTCTAGCCGGACAACGTACTGTGAATATGTGTAATTTTTAATCTATTGAGAATGTACGTTGTGTGACACCTAAATTAAAAATTTCTATATAATAATTATAAACACATTCAATTAAGTCTTCATTTATTAGTCAAAGCGGGTCAGGGTAACGTGACGGGTACCCAGTTCCAACTCATTACCCACCCGTCCCAGGTACCTGTCCAAGCCCTAGTCTTCATTCTACTGCATGTCGCATTAGGGTGCACATGTCCTATCAAAATGAACTTTAATATGTAAGAAGTTTTCAAGAGTTATCAGTTGTAAAAAAACAATGTTCTGTCTGTGATCACTTGGATGACGATGATTTTGTTGTGTACAGAAGGCTAGTTAGAAAACCAAAGACTGTGACTACAAGCTACATACAGAAGACTTCAGCCATTCTTCTAGCAAAAAGACTAAAAGGACGACCTAGAAGCACGGCAATCTTCACGTTCACCTATCACCACGGATGGTGATTCTTTAAGCTCTGCCTAACAACTACTTCAGCAAGAATCTGACCACTTTTGTTACCCTCCGATCCTGTTCTGTCAGTTCTGTTGAAAATGGTTGGTGTGAGACATCGCCAACCCCCCGTAGTTCGTTGAACCTTGAACTGGTCCTCAAGCATGATGCACCTGGCCTTCCATATACGTGATCATTCCAATTGTTTCATCATGCAGTTTTTCAGTCCCTTCTCCTTCAGAATTGCCTCGAAGTTTACAGAAGCCTTTCGAGTGCTGTCACAGTTTTTATCTACGATTTCTAAGATGCGCGCCTGTCCTATGTTGGAACATGTAAACATAGGGATGTTATACAATTTTCTATCCCATCTTACTAACAGAAAAAGTAACTGTGCACAAAATAAAATTGCATAAAATAGCAGTTATTTGAAAAGTTACAAAAATAACCCGAAATAAACATGTAGCAAAGCACTTTGCACGGAATTTTGTGGAAAACATGTTATTTTAACCTAAACTGCGAGTACGTCATGCCATGGCTTACAGAAAATAATACGCTGGGTATGCTGGAGACTGGAATGGCCCTAAATGAAGTGGTTAGAGATTTTGGTGTCCATCGAAACACAATCTAATCTTTATGGAGACGTTTTCAACATTATGCCGACATGATAGATTTGCCTCGAATCGGCCATCAACGAGCGACGTCACAACCACATTCGGCTGACCCATTATAGGAATAGATTTCAGACTGCCAGTTTGGCTGCTCGGACCATTCCTGGTTTACGTCCAATCACTTCCAGGACTGTACAGAGGCGATTGAGGGAGTACAACATCCAGTCCAGATGGCCCTCAATTTGTCCAATTTTGTTCCAACGTTACCAACAGGCACGTCTTGCCTGATGCAGACAGCATCGACGGCACTAGAGACAGGTTTGGGATGGTGTTTTTGTTCACTGAAGAGTCGAAAAATCCTACTGGACAGCTCAGATGGCAGGGCAAAGGTGTACAGACGGCAATATCAACGGTATGCTGACACGCGAGTTGTTCACCATCGACAGTTTGGTCGCGAAAGCGTAATGGTATGGGGCGACATCACATCTCATGTGAGACACAACTTATCCTTGTCGGTGGCAATCTGAGAATCTGAGTGTGATACAGAGATGATATTATTGGGCCTCATGTGCAGCTGTTCATTCAAGGACAGAGACATAACATCAAGCTTCAGGAAGATAATGCTTGTCCACATGTTATTTGTGTTGTGACAGATTTCCTGAGACAGAAGAACATTCCTGTACTCCCCTTGCCAGCTGTTTCTCTGGACCCGTTCCCTATTGAGCATGTTTGGGATGAAATGGAGCAATGTTTACATCCAACCCAGAATCAGCCATTGACTAAGCTGAATTGGAACAAGCGTTGGTTCAGACATAGAATATCATTCCCAAAGCTTTCTTCAATCACTTAGTTTCATCTATGCATCGTTGCTGTCAAACCTGCATCAACACCAATGGTGGACATACACGATGCTGAATTTGTGAACTGACTTTTGACACCACATCTCTCAAATCATACAGATTTCAATCTTATCCTGTCAACAGTTAAACAGTGATTAAGGAAAACATCACAATCATGTTATTATCTTTTTGGACTAAAATATGACATAACATCAAATAACGCACAGTTACTTTATTCCGCTAGTTTATGTTGTCACTCCCTCCGATGTCTCCACCTAAACTCCTCAACTGGGTGGTGAAGTCAATCTGATTCTTGAGTGTCTGAGGTATTGCATGCGCTTGCATGCGATAATCTGTGTACACTTTGAACCCAATCCCCATGTTATGGAGGAGCTCTGTGACAGGTTTTGGGGGTGTAGAAATGCCAAGTATTCCTTAAAAAAGACAAGCCAAAGAAACTTCTGACGACCATAGAAGATCGGGACATCTAGATACACATCTTGAGATCAAGGCTGAGCATGTAACACCCTGAATTGCTAAGTGTATGAGGGAGACCAATGGAGACCATCTGGAAGTGTAAAGGCTGTTCCAGATACTGAGTGTTGAAAATCTTCTTGCCGAAAATCAGGCATCGGACAAATGGGAGTCATGTTGTGGACCAGAGCAAGATTCATGCTTTACATGAACTTAAGTTACAGCAGCTGCCCACAACAACAGATAGCGATAGGGTTTGTTCAGGCAAGCGTTACAAGAGGCCTGAAACTTTGTTCCAGGATATTTCCTTTCCAAGGTCTTGTGATACACATGCTACAAGGGAGCTCTCCCACAGAAAGTCTTTGTGATATATATCATATACACTCTATAGAATTATTTGCATTGAACACAAAAACATAAAATGTACTTACCAACTACAATTGAAGATATCTGGATGTCACTATGTCAGAGAGACATTTGAAAGGGGTAGATTACTTGACTTCAACTTTGACCTGTTCCTTTCATAAAACTGAAATATGAAATGAATTAAATGGTTGTGATGACATTGCATTTAATCAACATTTCAATCTTTTGGACATCCAACGTTTGTCATGCTGATCGTCATGAGAAATAACACAAAATAAATATGATGAAACAAAGCAAGTACTGGGCCTCTAGCTACATTAAAAACCTTCACCTTTGCATTTCTTAAATGGAAAGAAAGTTGTAGGTCACATACATATTTATCATTAATTTTGTTTACCGGTATATAATTTATATCAATTGCAACCTGAATAGACTCAAGGGAAAATCAGTGGGCCCTTCCCTCAGAAAGATGTTGAAAATGAATATTGAAACAAGTAAGGGCATTTCATATATTCCAGCAATGTCACGGTGGAGGACACCAGCAATGGGCTTCACACATTGTGCCCATGTGGGGAATCGAACCCGGGTCTTCGGCTTGACGAGCGGCTACCCCATCGCCCCCTCAGTGCTTTAAATATTACTGAAGTACAAGTCAAGCTGTCTGCGCAAGTACTACAGCCATGTGTTGGTGATAACTGGTACGCAGTGATAACTGTTTACCAGCCAGTATGTCTTCTAAATTGTTCAGTCATGTTATGAATTATTTCATTATCTAATCACAAAAACAAATGCATCATAAATTGCCTCTGATGTGAAGGAAATGAAGAGACCAAATATCAGAAGCAATGACAAATCCTATCAACATGATTTCATTGAGTAAGCATTGTTAAGTCTAGACCTAACTTTTCTTCTCCTGGTAAATAATTTTACTGGGCGTTTACAAATTACACACACTCTCCGCAAAATGCACATTTTCTGAGATTTAGTGATAGAAAAAAGAAGTAAACAATTCTTATAATTTAAAAGCTTGTCGAGATAATCTAGGATACATTTTTTCAGAATCTGTAATTGGTGGACGCAAATGAAGAATGGTTATAACTTATAAACATATCGACTGTTGAAAAAGAGTAGTCATTTTGTTTAATGTCAGATACGTTAAGTAGATAAGATATTTCAAACCAGACAGAAAGAAAACCTGTTGCATCTTGCGAATGCTAGATAATTCATAAGAATTTAATACAACACATGACAAAAACAAAATAAGTAGAACTATTGGATAATATTAAAAAACAACAATGATTTTCCATATTTTATTCTAAACATTTCATGTTTCAAATTTTCAGTCACTTAACATAACCATGACGAGACGTCCAAGGCAGGCACGCACTTTGCCAGTATTTTACATTCACGTTTAGGTTTAGAATCAAAACTGTAACTGGAAATGTGCATCTATGCTATACCTTTAAACCACAACAAAACCATTGGGAATCACACAGTTAACGTATCCGATCAGATTTAGTGAACATATCTGATGCTTGCAGATATCATTTCAAACATTAACAATTTCAATGCAACATGAACAAAAGACCAAATGAAATATAAAATATGGCTATAGTTAATATGGGGATATCTTTGGTTCAACAACTTCTAGTGCTTTGTTTTGTTTTCCCTTCTTTTTCTGGTTTTGTCTGTCCCTATACCGCTGACTGTATAATCTATTACCGGTATTCTCTCTAACTTGTTTCTGTTTCTCTTTAGCCAGTTGAGTTATTGGAGTTCTATATGACTTGGCCCGTACTCGTTCTTTCTCTATAGGTATTCCTTATCATTAATTTTTTACGTTCTCTATACTCCTGTTGATACTGGGCACACATCTTGCGCATTTTCTGAAATGTGTTCGAAATTGTACACTAGTAACAATTATCTAAATTACAATGTAAAATTCAAAATAATGAGGGGGGTTTATGGGTAAATGGAAGTTTGCAAATGTTACTGTGCGTCACTGAATAATTGTCTGTTGACATTTGTTTAATCCATGTCAGAATATATCAATTTCGTCAAATATGTTAATCAATTTTATCAGATTCGTCAAATACATTATCAGTCTATATGTTACAGCTAGAAGCCAGACCATAATTTTATTCTATAGGTATCACTAAACACGCATCAATGATCATACCTATTGCTTGTGTGATTCAATGCACTACAATTCTTTAAACCGATCATATAATCATATCAAGTACGTTAACACCAAATAAGATACGTTAAATACATAACTCAACGAATGCAGCGAGTTTGTGGAAGTTTTTATTTATTTCTGATATATGTGAGTCCATAGATGCACATTTATTGAATACAATTCATACAAAGCTATTAATTACCTACAATTGTTGAAAATGTATGGTTTTGAACTTCACTTACCAGTGTCGACTAACAGTAACAAATCCTCGGCGATCGTCGTCAAATTGAAATTTGTCCCGCCAAAACCAATGGGCGGAAGTAGTGTGCTCTTGCATCAGTGTTATAATTATATTAAACGGAGATAAGAATTCACTGGAACACAAACTCTGAATGTTCACATGCTATTACACGTATCTGACTAAAACGTATCTGATGCTACAAAAGGAAAATTCGGCCTACAGTTGGAGTCAAGTTTATCTATCTTAGTTTCACACACATTTGTGATACTGCTGTCATCGGTGGTTGAAAACAATTGGTTTAGAACTACTACGCTGCACAGAATCCCTTCGTTTACAGATGAAGAGTTCACATACCTGATGAAAAATGAAAGTACGGTAACAAACCTTCTACTTCAGGTACGACCAAATGTATCTTTTCAAGTTAACTTTAGAAAGAAAAAGCACATAACTGTTTTACAGATTGGGATAACTGGTAATGAAAGCATGTACTTAGAATAGATATATATGCCAATAAGATAGCATATTTATACAAATGGTTGCAATACATGGAATTGTTATCAGGTACTTGCAGGAGGGACAAAGGAAATATGTAACAAAGGTCTATATGATGATGCAGTGTATACCAAAATTACCGACCGATGTCGAAATAAAAATGAAAAGGACCCCACTGTCTATACCGGAAGTAACTTACAGCCTGCCAGCTGAGATCGCTTTTGTCTACAAGCGTGGAAATACCGTCTTTGCTACATAATAAGTGAGTGACAACATTTTTCATACTTGCAATATGATGTATCCTGAACTAATGAACGAATATAAGCCATTTATTACTGCCGATCAGTCCAATTTCAATATATCCCCTTTGTGGTGGCGCTTAGTGTCGTCCGCCTATTAAGCTGCTGCAAATTGACATTGACGCTTTACGCCTGGCAACTTGCTTGTTTTTTCAAAATATGTCTCGGGACAGAGGTAGGCCTTATGAACGTGGATCAGGGAGAATTTGTGCTATGAAAGACTGTACAAATAGCCAGAGAAATCTCACGATATGGAAGGAATTGCCCTGTACAGTCCATAAACTGCCATGGAAGGACTGCCCTTGTTTATTTCCCCTATCATCTCCATAGGTTTCCTGTGAATGAAGATCGCCGTAGTGTTTGGGTGTCACGTGTTAATCGGAAGGATTTTCACCCATCTGATAGCAGTGTGGTATGTATTTATCAAGATAATTAGTGGCACAATAGTTTATCCCATCTGATAACTAGAGATAATGAAACGTTAGATATTTTGTTATTCATGTAGGGCCTACAGTGCTGGACCCCGCTTCACAAAACTCTCAGAAGCTAAAGATCTTAGTAGCATTGGTGCATCTCCTATGTTACAGTATAGGAGGTACCTAATGCACTGTAGGGTAAAGCTATGCAACAAAGGGTTGAACGACAATTTTTACTAGTAAAATATTCCAACATTTTAAAACCTTATGTGCTACAAATCATTATTCTAGAGACATTTGTATTGTAGAAACTTACTGATATCTTGCAATATGCCCAAAAATATTGAGAGGAAACAGTCTATTTATCATTATTTACTCAATATATCTTTCCTTAAAATTAGTTAATAACATTACTGGATTAATTTATTATGTAATTTATTATTGCTTAATTACTTTACCCTCCGTGTATCGTTAGTGTACACATAGAACAGGGATGTAAAGAATTTCTTTATTTAACGGCTCTAGTGTTTAACAGGAGGAAAAAATTGTTGAAAATGTGATAACCCATTGTAGTTACTGGAGTGACATTGGCAAATAGAAATGTACTTATTTTATTTTTATAACTCTTTTCAGATATGCTCAATTCATTTTTGATGGCCATCCAAGCAAACAAAATCCTGATCCAGTCTTAAATTTGGGATATCAACGAAGGTTAGTGTACTTTAAGTTTAATGTAATGTACAAATAGTCCTACTAGTGATGTATTAAACGAAAGTTATTTTGACAATTATGTTATTAACTATTTATTACTGTTCATTGATGTAAAAGTATAATAGCCTGTTATACTTTAACTTTCCACTCTCCAGGTGACACAAGGAAGAAGGACCATTTTCCACACCCTCTCTGATGTTTCTCGGACCCCAAGGAGCAATCAACTGACTGAGGAGTGCCATGCTGAAGCTGAACTGACAGATCAACCTGTATCTCAAGCTGAAGAGAAGGAAAAGGGGAATGATGACTCCAGACCAAGTGATTGTGACTGTTGTAAACAGAAGTCTTGTTTTTGTCTTCACAGACCTATGATAAAAGTTCCAAACAGAACTGTAGGAGTACAGGTTCATTTTAACAAGTCAGTAGATCACCATTATGCAACCCAGCACTACACCCACCAAAACAAAGAATGTCTCTGTTCAGGTTAATTTTCCTGCCTTTTCTGCAGACAGTATTAAGACTGACACTGATTCTGTGTTTTACACTGGACTTACTCTACAGGTGTTTTTGTCAATAATAACTTATCTTACATCTGTACTCAAGGTCAAACATTAAGATGCCACTCTCAGATCAAACACTACTCACACTTATGAGACTTAGGCTTGGAATTCAGTTTCATGATCTCGAGAAGATTTTCAATTTCCACATAATTAGCAAGTAAAATTTTGGAATTTGTATCTCAATTTTAGCCAGAAAGCTAAAGGATTGCATTGTTTGGCTCCCAAGAGATGTTATTAGATCTGCAATGCCAATGTCCTTTAAGACTACCTATCCACACACTACCTGCATTATTGACTGTACAGAAATGTTCTTGCAACGCCCATTTTCATTGAAGGTTAGAGCTCAAACCTACAGTACATATAAAAGTCACAATACTGCCAAAATTTTGTTGCTATTGCTCCCAATGGATATATTATGTATGTTTCAAGATGCTATGGGGAGTCGTGCAAGTGATGTGTATATCACCAAGAACTCGGGTTTTCTAAACTACTTGTTACCTGGTGATGAGGTAATGGCAGATAGAGGCTTTACAATAAGCAATGAACTTTATGCTAGAAGAGTGAAACTGAACATTCCTGCTTTTATGAAGGGTCAGTAAACAACTGAGTGCTACAGAGTGTATAGAAACACAAAGAATTGCATCTGTAAGAATACATGTAGAAAGAGCAATTGCCAGGTTGAAGTCTTACAGAATATTGAATCAGGTTCTACCTCTTAATTCCGCTCAAAAGTTGGATAAGATAGTCAAAGTGTGTGCAGTCCTGTGTAACCTCAGACCAGAACTCATCAAGGACAAAGACTGAGTAGTCATGTATGTTTCAGACATCTAGTAGGCTGCTTAAGCTTATGAGATGTATGTGATTTTGCAATGTGATATTTCACCAACAAGAATGATAAATTATAAATACATAGTCTCATTGAATTGATGTTTAAATCATTAAACTGAATGTTCCCCTCACCTTGATTTTTGTTTTCATTGCTGTTTTATGTTTAAATACCAACCTATAGATATTCAATGAAATCAAACTTGTAAATCACCTTAACCCTTAGACTGCCATATGCATGGCACCATATATACAGTGATAGAAACTACCAGTGGCAGATGGCCACCACTTTTGTCTTTGGGCCACTGATATTTTGGAGAAAACAATAGCAGTTAGTGATCACCAAAAGTGTTTTTTTTTTCACAGATACATCACCACTTGGGCCACTAGGAAAATCTCACAAGTTTCTGTAACTGTATATATGGTCCCATGATATGTGTGACAACAATATTCCTGTTTCAGGGGGTTAAAGATTTCATCTTAAGTGTGAGTAATTACATGAGATATAAATACTGATCATGTTCATTAAAAACAAAAACACATATTCATTTCATACTGGTACATTGTATTTTATTATTCAACCTAAATATGTTAAACATTTATTTTAAGTTACTAGCATGTGAAATAGTATTTGACTTGAACTGTAATTTTCTTCATAAAATATCAGCAATTCATAATACACAACTTTGATTTTATTACTATTCATTTGAGTGTCAGTGAGTGAAGGAAATGTACACATTTACAGGTTATATACAAATTCTTTTAACATCAACAGTAAGTCAATAACATAGTAGATACATCACATCAATTAGATAGATAGCAATTTATTGACTCAGCTCTAACAAAACAACAAACTTCGCGCATAGCTGTGTAATTTATGTGTTGATGCTGTTACAGCTTTATTTACACTACACATGCTACGGTGACACACAGAACTGCTTGTATTCCTCACTCAACACGAACCGACCTGCCTTGAAGTCATCAACCAACCGGACCAGCATATGTTTAAAATAAAACGCTCTTAATCTAGACAGTGTATTGTCAACAAAGCTGGAATCATATGCAACATCAAGCAGGACTCTGTCATGTTCTTCTGGTCTCCACATAAGAAAGGTGCACTGATGTTTTCCTGTACAGAACATACACATTTGCACCTGAGTGAAATATCCATTTCTCCCTTTGAGTAAAGAACTAGTTCACTCTCAATGTTTCAACATCACCTTTTCCCGAGTCAATCATTGCATGCACAGATGTTGTAGGACATTTTATTTCTAATATTGCAGAATCTTCAATGATTCCATCAGGACTAGCAGACAGAAATGGTTCATGTGATGATATAACAGTTCCTGTAACACATTACTTTCTTCCCAGAAATATCCTGATAATGTGTCCTTGCTATGGGTTCATGGGTCACTCCATAAGCAGTGTTGTCATTACCCTTAAATCTCTCATACAGGTGATTGTTCAGGAATTTCTCAGGGTCGCTTCTACTTGTTTTAGGTACACTGTTGGCCTTTGATGCTGGTATTCTTACTGCTTCGCTGTCTTTCCATAGCGGACTTGATGATGCACCCTGGTTTAATGTTAAATTACTTAATTCTTCTCTTTTGTACTCAGGAAGATTAACATACTTGTCATAAAAATTCCTGGCAAACAGAACATTCCAATTTGTGACAGTCTTGCTATAATCAATATCATGAGATCCATGTCTTGATTCATCATTTGACGTTTCCTTGCAGATAGGATTTACATTTTCAGTGGCTGAAAATGTTTTATGGAGAAGTGTACCCTTCAGTTTCCAAAGAGAACAAAGTGGAGAATTATTTACATGCTCAGTAAAGTCTTCTGTGGTAACAAACTGCTTAAATCTGTAGGGCTTGCTTTTCGATGATGTAGACGCGTTTCTGCAGCTTGACTGGGATCATCAGATCTTTTTGGATGCTTGAAATTCATGGCCTTTAATTCACTGAGTAATTTATTGCTGTCAGTCCCTCGTCCCCATGTACAAGGTAAATCAGTACAAGATTTACCAGCATATCCATGTAACCAGGCTAGATGTACAGCATACATAATGGCTGCAACATGACTACATGACCTTCCATGACCAGCTGGGCAAGTGCAACATGCAGTTAATACAGTACCATCTTTCCTTGCAGCAATCCATGCATTGTAAGGAACTGTAGAGGCTCCTGGCTGAGAGGGTGACACACAGGCTTTAAGATAATGAACTTCATTTTCCACAATGCTTTGAATATCACCTAACCATCCATTCTGCACATAATTATATGCATATGTTGCTCGAAAAGCTTTCATTTCCTTGGAATCAAATGAGTGGGACTTAATGAGGTAGTCAATAATATCTTCATATCCTATCTGAGGCCACTTTCCAGTATTATTGGTAACCCACTTGGCACTGCCTTCAGGTAGTGACTCTGTAACAGAAAGTACAATAATAACCATACCCACTCATCACATTTGACCTAGCCTCATTACAGATTGAGATAACTATCTGACCTAATTATATTTAACCAGCTGTTACTTCTAGTTACAAGAGAACGTCTTAATTTGTGTGAGATAAATAAGAAATATACTAGTACTTTTTAATAACACAAATATGTAGATAAAAAAGTAGAAGGTATTTTTCACAAATTATTTGGTCAAGGTATAGTCAAAACGTAGTCATTTGTGAGCATTTAGTAAGAGATTACGCGTGTAAATCTAGAAATTTATATAGCTAAATAATAAATTTTGACGATGGTTCTTGACCTATCAAATCAAAATATAAACAAGACAACATTAGGGGAATATGTTTGGAAATATTTAAATGCCCTATACATATTTGAAAATACAGGCAAGTTCAAATTCAGAACACAGGCCTTATAAGATACAGGCGTGCCTATAGTTTACATGCAGTTTCATCGTTAAATTCAACTTTTAAAGGCCTTCAGTTTTTCGTGCACAATACAATAGCGAGTTACAACAAAATGCACATGATATTGACATTACTTGGTCATTTCTTTAAACTTTAGTAATGCGTTAAATATTTCTTACCTGCAATGTTTGTTTTAGACATGACATCAGAAATCCCTAAAACGAGATGTAATGTTGGACCTGTAAGTAGACGTTGTTTTTCGCGGCGTAAGCGTTGACTGGGCACCGTCTAGACTTGTTTGCAACGTCATAGATTGCCGCGGCGTTACAAATAGCACAGACCAGTTCATCGTTGCAGCCGCTTAATGGCTGCCACAAAATGGCGGCGCCCATGAAATAAGCCATGGAAAGGTCTATATATGGCATAGTATACACAAGTTAGTTACATTTGGCAGTTGACCATGGCAACATTATATCTTGTGTTATCTCTATTTTCAGTGGCATTCCAGTTACAAAATCCCTTAATATATTAACATACTATTGTTGCTGAAATAACAATAATAGATAATTAATCATTTACTGTTTACATTTAGGGCCATCAAATAGTCATGATCTTAATAGTGCCATATTGTTAAGAAATACATTCATTTATATTTTTCTTAAATTTCAGGACCAGGGCTGACCAATTGAAAGAGAACAAGAAAGGCTACGTATGTTTTGCAAAGTGACAGAGATAAGTTGCTATTGTTACTTCAGATTTTGTAATTATCATACAACTTGACCTGTATGCTGTTGTTATTTCTTTTCGACATTGACACCAGCCATGTATTGCCACTTTGTGATAGAGTTGAAAGAGCAGGACTGGGTATCACTCTTTCAAAGAAAAATGCTTGTGTGTATGTTGTGCATTGAACTTTGCCAAAATGGATATATAAGCCCCATGATCATGAAATACCTTGCAACTGAAACTGTATTTGTTGGAAACTATTTCATTTGCTTAAGTATTTATGATCACAACAGAGGTGGAAATAAGCCATTGCCAGACGTCCGTGTCCACTGTTTTATTCTGTCGGGCAAGCAAATTTGTATGTCACACTGTACTGGTGTCCAGTTGACTTTCCAATGTTACTTATGTTGCTTATTTAAAAAATCAGCAAGAAAACAGTCGGTATAGTGGAAAAATTATCAGGGCAAGTGTTTTTACATGTGCCACTGTTCCAGAGTACATTAGCAATTTTAAAGTTATTTCCACCCCTGCACAATCAAAACAGACCCCGACGTCTAAATATCAGATATGGTATTTATGTAATGATATCAATCCGTCATGTATGAGATATTGGAAATGATATTAAAGGCTTAGCTAAGATTTGTTCTTGCTCCTAGGGCCAGGTTTAGTTTTCAACCATGTGATACTGATACATATTTCATGGATTATGTTGTAGGAGTAGAGCCGTATTTATTCATTTCATTGTGGTACATACGCTGTCTGTAGAAAGATAAACGGTTGCTGTTCCTGTCTGTAGAAAGGAGCAAGAGGTTCTTATTTTACTTGATTGTTACATATTTTTGACTCCAGAGACTTTAGTTAACATGAAACTTGCCTTGTATGCATATGTTGTCTTTTTGTAGTCATTTTCTAGTCATTAATACATGTTATACATGGCCAGTTTGTAATGGTGTTGAAACAGCAGAGATGGGTACCACTCTGTCAGTGACAGATTTTGCTGTTGTATATGTTAAATATATCACTTTTATTACAAAAATAGATAGACATGATGCCAATAAACAACTACAATGCATAAAAATATTTTTCAGAAGTGTAGAAATATTTTTTAAAACACCTTAGCAAATATATGGCTGGAAAGAAATGCCGTAACCTTTTTATTGAGCGTGTGTGTTTGAATGCTAATAAAAAAAATATTAAAAATTTCTGTGTGGAAAACAAAGAGTATTTTGATTACTTATCCCTTGCTCTAGCCCAACATGTTAATTGTATGGGTAGAACTCTAGATATTCTTCGAACTACATTTCCATTCATCTGTATCTCATGACCTTAAAATGTGTAGGTCGAGCACATTTTTATAAAAACTGTAAAATATTATTTTTTAACTTGAATGTCACTTTTTGGGATGAAAAGAAGTGTTTTACCATGACAATGACTATGTATGCTTATTTTTGCTGATGTATTAGTCATATGTAGACATTATTCATGAAAACTTTGTGAAAAGTTTAAAAATGATTGATACGGTGCTACTCTTGCAGGGTCAGATTTTCATATTGTATGTGGTAAATATATGACCATTGTCACTAAAATGGATAGACAAGATACTAATACAGAGCTAGAATAATTAAACATATTTTTGTTAAATGCAGAAATATTTTTAAAATGTTCCTAACCAAACAAAATGGCTGAATTTTTTTTAAATCTAATAACTTTGCAATAAAACTTTTTGGTATGAAAATCAAAGTGTTTTGTTGTTTTTGAAACTTCTCTCTAGCAACACACCAAATTTGGTTGAAAAATTCCTATTAATAAAAAATGACTGATTATACATACGACAGGGACAACAAAATACGTGAAATGTGCGTTTAGCGGAGAATCAATGTTTTGGTAAGTCCAGCAAAATTTCGAGGCAGAAAATAGAAACCAGCACCGGCAGCGGACACATTGCGAACGAATGATATGTCTGTCGTAGCTTACATTTCGCCCGTTTGACGACGATTTCGTGAACTTGAATACTGGAGGGGCGTTCTTTCTCGGCACGTATTGCAACTGTAGTCTTGAAGACTTTAAAGAAAATGACCGTTCTGGCTCCCAACACAACTCACCTTGTCCGCCATATTTGCTTGCGAGGGCACAGTATTAAGCTGGTTCCCGGCTCCCTATGCGCGCGCGCGCACATTGCGATCAGCCTGGTTCCCTGGGTCTGTTGCGCCTGGAGCGTTAGCGCAGGCTCAAACAGACTCTGGGGCCGTTAGCGCCACATTGCGTTATTCGAGACGCGGCCCAGGTTATCTAAAACTATAACTGTACATCAAGCGAATTGCGTTTCTTACACGTTCTCGTTGGAAAATGTCCATCTTTTCGACTTTTGTGTCCTTTGAGATGACCCCTTGGCTTTGATGAAATCCTGGACTCCTTCTTGTAATAAGTAATTCAATTTACGTTCAGAAAGGCCAAAATATGCAAAAAGGGTCTTCCCCTTAAAATATTCCCACTAACAGAGACCATATAATATTATAGTAATACATTTGATTTTTTCGTGTCTATGTAACAGAGGTATTCTTAGATGAGAGTTTAATGAGGACGAATACTTGTGGAGGTTTTCAGGGATTTTTTTCCGGCACTGGTAGCGTAGGATATGGAGATCCCCAGTTGGCTCTCAGTCCATATAACCGAATTAACAAAACGCCCTGAATGATAAAACATACATCACTTAATACACGTCTCTCATATATGTAATACATATAATGTAATACATTCAATATACATGTAGTTCTAATACCCAGATTTGAACAAAGACATGTGCTCTAATTATAACTCACATATATGACAACTATTATTACTGTTATTTACAATCATATACTAAACACAATACCTCACCTCGTCTCAGGGACGCATGCAGAATAAGCCAACAGCTAATAAAACATCTGATTCTAAGTGAACCTAATTAAACAAAATATTGCCTAAGTATACTTATAGTATATACAGATATACATTATAAATGGCATTAGACAGACAGACAATTTATTTCGAGTATTCAAAGCCACGGCCCATATTACAACAGGGCTTTAACAAGTGTATTCATGCTGATCATATACTACCCATCAAAAGTTTAGACTCACTTAAAGCACTCACTATTTGTTATGTATATATATATGGTTACATCGAAGATGAATTTCTCCACTAACCTGAGGGAACCAACTGCAAACCTTATGCAGATGAATTGCACGAGGACCATGCATCAATTTTCTGAAAAGCATGTGCAAATATCGTGGATGTAAACAGCTACGCTTTGGTGTAAAGTTTTGTTAAGAATTCGCCAATTTTCACCGAGTTTCATCATTTATTGAACTCATGAAAAAAGTTTTTTCAGCCTTACGAAGTTATTTTACAATACATCAGTTCATGTGCAAACAGTACCTTAAAAAATTATGGAATATTTAGCAAAATCTAGCTTAAAACAGTTGACTGAAGCAAGTGGCTACATTTACACTAGTGAGTCTAAACTTTTGATGGGTAGTATATTTCAGGTATCTTGTCACCTGACAAGACAAAAAAAAGCTCTCGTAAAATAACAATAGAGATGCTACACTAAACTATCACACAATATGTCAGCATATATACTGAAGATCTAATTATAATTTGTTGTATTTCTTATCCTAAAGACTTTATATAAAAAACCTTTCCAAACTTAATATTACAATCTTATCAGTACTTGACATAATTGTAACAAAACTGTCCATAGAAGGACTATTTCCTATGCTGTTATGAAGACATTCTCTTATTTCGGCTTCATAACGCTGACAGATCATCAAGACATGAAATTCATCTTCAACAAGAAATAATTTTTTACTATGACAATATAAGCAAAATCTTTCACTAGCAGTTAAATTGCAATGCCTTCCTGTTTCAATTGCTAGCCTGAAATTATTACACCTGAATTTACAGTTCTTAAATGCTGTGGAATGTCAATTGAAATATAAGACTCAACATGTAACATTGTTTTAAATTGACAATAAGTTTGACACTTGCTCAAGTGTAAGTAATACAGTGCTATTCCTGGCTCAAGGAATCAAACAATTGCTGTTTAAAGTAGAAATAAACATTTTCACATTGCCAATATCTTGACCTATCCACACGATTCTGAAACCGAATTGAAATAAAATGTTTCTCACATGAGAGGCCCAAGTAGTTCTACCCACATCATCAAGGTTTTTTAGCATTAAGTAAGACTGACAAGGTAAACGATTATAATCTAACTGAATTATTCTACACCAATATTTCATTAGTTTTAACATATAGTTATATTGAAGTGGTACTCTACCACATTCACCAAGTGCCATAACATCACATGTGTTCTTATGTAACCTTAGTATTCGCTTGCAGAAGCTAGTTTGTACTCTTTCAATGGTTTTACAATAGTGGGTACCCCAAACATCAGCTCCATATGAAATAATTGGAACAATAACTGTATCAAATATCTTAAAGGCATCAGTACAAGAGACAAAACCATGCTTTCTTTGATAATTATATAATGACATTAGTGACTTGTTAGCCTGAGCTGCTGAACAGCTTTGTGCCTTAGACCATGACAAAAATGGTGTGAAGACAACCCCAAGATACCCCTAATTATTAACAACATCAATTTTCTTACCTTTAAAGTACCCCTTCTCGTGCTTTTTAGAGGACCACCTCTTCGGAATACAATTATCTTATTTTTTTTATGTTTACTTTCATACCAGTTGCTGCACAAAATTGTTCTAAAACATTTATTTCCTTTGTAGATTGATAACAGAGTGGCATTAGCGTACACATAAATAGTTATTGACCCTAATACATACATTAAATATGCATATAGAAACTAAACCTTATAATAAACACGCATGATACACATTAGTGTATCATGCCAGTCATGAAATAGCTAATACACATACATATACATACTACATATACATGATACAAATTGCAGTATCATGGTGGTATAACCCTACAAACAAACTCATACCAGTATACTAATGTACTGGTATACAATACGTCATACATTTGTCAGGGGCAGTGTGGTAGCTTAGTGGTTAAAGCGTTGGCTCGTCACGCCAAAGACCCGGGTTCGATTTCACACATGGGCATATATTAAATGTGTGAAGCCCATTTCTGGTGTCCCCCGCCGTGATATTGCTGGAATAATGCTAAAAGCGGCGTAAAACTAAACTCAGTCAGTCAGCCATACATTTGTCTAAAATACTAGGTATGCATATATTTATCGACAAACACCTAACATACGCTAAATATGATAAAACGCAGTTCCTTAAAACATGGAATCTAACACACTAGATCCTAACAGCCCTACTATACATATAATACTAAAATATCTAACTTAACTTACCCCATGTAATGTGCTGGTGTTGTGCTGTGATGGTGCTCAAGGAGAAATATGTAGACTGACATGCACAAGTGAAAGGCAGTGGAAAGCTTTAAATATGACAAGAAGCTGATAATCTATAAAACAATAGGAACCTTGACAACAGGCCAATGTGGAGCTTGAACCTGACACAAACCCCATGCTAGCTTACCAGAGAACACAGGCCAGTTTGGTAATGATAAAGTTTTATACCTAAGTTTAAAATAATGAAGTTTAACACATTAAAATGACACATTTATTTACACACTGTTACATCTATTGTTTCATTTCGTTGTATACGTTGAGTTCTTCCAAGACTAAACGGAACTCCTCCTCAGATATCCCGTACATTATCCAATACCATGATTACACAATGCCATTTAGAAAGTGGTCAAATGCAACATATGTTATATTTGGGATTACACTTTCCTACTAAAGTACATCCAGTGCCGTTGAGACAAGATCCTCAATAATATTTTAACTTTGCTTCAGCAAGAATACGAATACTCTCATGATTGGATGCTTTCTGTTGCAATCGGCTGGAAGTAAATTTAAGACCTAAACCTAACGGCCCTGATATTCCAGCCACTATTTCCATACCCAGTTCTACAGTTGCGGCGATTATAGTTGATAATACACCAATCCCGGCTGCGGCAACCCCAGTACTAGTTATTAAACGTGTATTGTCAACATCATCAATAGCATTCACAGCTCTATGACACCTTTTGTATAATCCAATCCGGCACCTGCTCTAGCTGGTGTTACATTTAACATATTTGATGCAATCGAAATTCATTAGCATCGACAGAGACCATATACATTGTACGCGAGCGCTTTGAGCACCCACTTAGTGGTTGCATTTAGCGCTATATAAAATTTTCAGTATTATTATTATTATTATACCGGTATATGGTCTCTATCATCATTTACTTCATCTACCGCAGGGCATATTATATATATCACATATGAGTGTTCTCCAGGAACGTCTCCACACTGTCAGTTATCATTATTAGTTTTAAATCAACATGTAAAAATATTTTAGCGAGTGAAAAGGGTACTCCCAACTCGAATTTGAACATTACCAAGGCTTGTGAGGATCTCTCTTAATGATGTTCAAGAATGCTGCGTTAAATATCATTGGTGACATTCCATTTAATACTTAGACCAGGGCCCGATCCACGAAACTACGACATTCGTAAGCCTAAGGTAAACTATACAAATTGCGACAGGTCGTAACGTTACGAACACTTTGCGGATGGAGACCCTTGTAATACATCGAGATAATCGTCAACCAAATTGTGTGGAGTCTCATTGTACAGCCGTCAGTTATTTAATACACCATCTAGTTATAAGGCTTACTATGCAGTCCTATGGAATGAGAAGAAAATAAAGAATAAAACATAACTAAGATTCATATTGTTAAGTGTAGTTAACAGCTAATATCTTGGAGTGCTGGACGACACATTAACATATGACTCGTGTGTGGCAGACTGAACAATACAATACGATACAATACAACACAACAAAACACATCACAACATAATAATATACTTAGTTCCAAAAGAACCGCGACATGTCCATTTGAAATAAGAACTGTTATCCCACATACACGTTTCCAGCCACTGTATGCTTTATGCAGAACGTTCCAAAGAAAGATAAAATACAACAGCAACGACAGTGGATTTAAGATCTGATGAAAGTTTTATGTGTCCAACCTGACGAGCCTGCATAGAGAAGTATAGACGCTTTAGCTAACATTTGATGTTGTCAGTACCTGGTATGACCACCATTATTGTCTATCACATGAGTATACGCCGTCTTCCCATGGACATGAACAAACTTCGAATGAAAGCACGGGATTGTACTCATTCAACTCTGCGTTGTCCAACTGCCGCCGATGTTTGTGGAAGAACTGGTCCTTGACGAAGGCGTCGGTCCAACTCGTCCCAGTGATGTTCCACTGGATTTAAATCAGGACTAAGAGGTGGCCAAACCATTGTCTGGATGCGATGGTTTGCCAGGAATTATCCTGTGGTAATGGCGGTGTCGGTGCGGGCATTATCGTGTTGAAACTGCAACTGTGGTCTGGGTCTAGAGGGCGAGACGACAACGGGCCTTAAGACTATGTTAATGAAGCGTCGTGCAGTTACACCCTTTCCACGACCTTGACCGTTGGTTTGGAAGATTACAGGTGGTACATGCCTTCCCTAGCCTCTATCCCACATCATAAGGGATGGTCCACCCCAGCGGTCACTGAAACGTTCATTTTGTCGAGACCGCCTCCGGGGTGTGGTGGTTAGAGCGTCCGCCCGGTGAGCGGAAGGTAGCGGGTTCGATCCCCGACTCCGTCATGCGAAAATACGTTAAAATATGGTACTTGTTGGTCCCTGCCTGGCGCTCCGCATTAATGGGTACATCAAGGACTGGTCGGCTCGGAGTCAGTAAAATGTGTCTGAGTCGGGTATTCATGCTTCACTGCGGCATGGTATCTCAGCTCTATAAAACCAGCTTAAGTCTGGGCTAGTACAAGCAGCCGCACATACACATACACACGCATGCACGTCGTCATATGAGCGAAATATTCTCAAGCACGCCTTTAAACCCAATTTCACCTCACCCCACCTCATTTTGTCGACGCCATCCTCTCACTCTCCCATCTGCAACGTGGGCACAAAACGACTCTCATCTGAGAAAACAACGTTCTGCCACTGTGCATAATATTATCTCCAATGCTGATGTTGGTGAGCCCATGCTTAACGCAGACGACGATGTCGTGGCGTCAAAATCGGTCCGATATAGGGTCTTCTACAGTGTAGCCGGTGTGCTCTCAAACGTCGACGCAGTGTTTCCTGAAATTGGTCTGTTGTGAATCCCAATTGTTTGACGGGCTGGAACAGTAGCTGGCAGAAAACGGTTGCGAAGATGTCTCGCCTGCGTGACGTCACTCGTAGGTCGATCTGTTACCGAATGCGTTTCATTTGCCGTTCAATCAGTCGGTAAATTGTCGTCCGATGTACTCCCATATGTTGTGCGACTTTGACAACACTGGAACCAGCATCAATCATCTCAACAGCACGTAGACGTGCTTCATTGCTCAGACGCGGCATACTGTTCTCTGAACCATTAAGAAAAGAACACAATAGAAACTGCCGTCGCATCTTTCAAAAGGTTCTTTCTCTCGTTTTTCTTGAAGAAAGTGTCGTATCATTTAATTCACGTGCACAACGTGTCAGGGCATGCGTTTATGTGACGCGTTTCTGTTGTTTATTCCCATAAAAATGTTCAATAATGAACAGTCATATTTCAGAAGTTTAATTTCGAAAATTGGTCTAAAAAAACATTTAACATGTACATTCGTTATGATTGTAAAGTAGATAAGACAATTATGGAATATTCAAAAACAAACTTGAATGTCGCGTTTCTTTTGGAGCTAAGTATATATACGTAGTTTTTAATTAAAGTTAGGAAGATATATTGAGAAGTAAGGTGGATAACATTGTTTCCATTTAATTACTAACTACATTTCATAATAAGAATCTCAGTTATTTTTTCTTCTTTATTTCATTATCATTCCTTAGCACTTCATAGTAAGCCTTGTAACTCTCCGTTAAACCTTCACAAATTGTCACACTGCATGCTTACAACCCTCTCTGCTCCAGCTCTCAGTCATTTCTATTGTTTCACTGATAGGCCAAGCTGGACACCGCCTAACTCCAATGTAAAGATGTTAAACTCACATGCTGTCTTGTTCTTCTGAAGGAAGGATATAATTATGGCCATTGGACTTTTAAAACGATTTAAGATCTGCGATTGTTCAGGCGATTATTCACCGTATCAGCTTGGGTACTGCCAACCTGGGGCTCCTTTCATGAAGCAACCTTTACTAAGGTTAACCGTAACTCCCATTCTTTAACATTGCACTAAGGTTACCTTAGTGACTTACTATCACCTTAGTGCTTTGTGAAAGGAGGCCCTGGCTGTTTCGTACATAAACGCAAAAACAAACGATTCGGCCCCACAACCAACAGCCGTTTGTATCCTTTTGGAGTACATTAACAAAGCACTGTTCACGGGGCAACGACAACACTCTTTCGTTGAGATGGAATATACGTCCCCCGCAGTGCAATCCCACTCCTGATTATCTTGGATACAGGGTGTCCATTACCCTTCACCAGCACATATGGTGGCACAAGGTTGATATGTATTAGTCAGTCAATTTTTGTTTCGATCGTAAACCATTTACCGTCATCACTGAGGGTGGGACGGTGGGGTAGCCTAGTGGTTGAAGCGTTCGATCGTCACACCGAAGACCCCACATGGTCACAATGCGCGAAGCCCATTTCCCGGCGTCCCTTGCCAGAAAATAAAGCGGCGTAATATCATACTCACTCACCGTTTTGAACCAGTTCTTCCCAATTGATGCAGGGGGCTCTAAAATAGGGTCCTGTCAACTCTTGGACATAGTGAATAGTGGCACTTACGAAAGATACAGGGAGGAGTTGTGGGATGAGCTTATATGGGGGTTTGATATGCCCATGGTTTGTGTGAGAATGACTGAAGTTATGTACCAGACGGTGCTGAGGTGATGTAGAATCGAATCCTGGTCTATCCACCCTTGAAGAGGTACAGCAAAAATTCTTCCAGTTCCGTGCTGTTACAACAGAACTCCGAAACGTCAAACTGACCTCGGCAAGGACTACAGTGACGCAGAAAGCTCAGTTAAGACTGAAGACCTAAGAGTGTTATTTGTTAAGTGTAATCTGATAGTGAGGCAAATTTTCCATTTTTGTTGACATTGTTTAACACAATTTAATCACGCCGCTTAGGTGTTTGAATCCACAATTAAGTGATTCCATTATTATTGACTATGTTGAAAGTTTGAGACAAATATTTGGTGGCAACCTTGCATATATAATTCATTCCATCCATCCATAAATCCATCCATCACATACATACATACATACATACATACATACATACATACATACATACATACATACATACATACATACATACATACATACATACATACATACATACATACATACATACATACATACATACATACAGATGTCTTGTTAGATTACAATGTTTGCCTCTTGTTTCGTAATATTCAATGTCCACTGTAATAAACTTCTCGTTACATCGAAACGTAAACGTATTCTACTAAACACGTTTTAACATCCTCTTAGACAATCAGAAAAAATATCTGATATTTAGTTCTATCAATCTGTAATTTACACTCAATAAACACTATACCGTCATTGTAGTGTACCAGCGGTATAGGCATGCTACGTCACACGGGGCTGTGGGAAAGCCTTGTAATTTAAGCGTTCGCTCGTCACGCCTGTGAAGCAGGTTATTGCTGGAATATTGCTAAAGGCGGCATAAAACCATACTCACTCACTCTAAACACTATACTGTTAGTGTAGTGTACCAGCAGTACTGGTTGTGCGTGCACAGAGCTTATTGTTAAATGCAAATCTGAACACAGAATGTTACATCATCCCAAGTATGGTGCACATAATAGACTTTGTGTTCATGGCAAGAAACAAGTCAATGAGAAAGATGCATCTTCTGGTCTCCTGTTGTGCGGTTCCTGAATATGAAATAATCAAGATTCAAAGAGTAAGAGGTACAATAAATTCCCCATAAGAGTGTTTGACAAAACGGGTGACTTCAACTTTACTAAACATAACTTTCCCTGTTATAACTGAGCATGATCTTTCTACCAAGATGTCAAACAGCATCACAGGATTCTCACTAACGTGCTGTATGATGAAGCGTACAATACAAGGCTTCTATATAGAATGATGTCAGATGGAATTCCATTTTCCTTGAAAAGCTTCTTTGTTGTTACTTTTCAGGTTAACAGTTGACCTGTCTTTCCATGTGTTTGTGATGAAAGCCACTAGAAGTGCAGGACATGCTCATCTTTACAATTACACCCGTATCATCACTATTGGGCAGTGACTGATAAACGCATGCTCACGAATAGTTGATATGGTACAAGTAACGCTGCTATTGACATACATGTACATTTATTAAGAGGTGAGGTGAAATTGGGTTTTACGTCGTGCTTGAGAATATTTCGCTCATATGACGACGTGCATGCGTGTGTATGTGTACTAGCCCAGACTTCAGCTGGTTTTATAGTGCTAGCCCACTGAGATATCATGCCGCAGTGAAGCATGAATACCCCACTCAGACACATTATACTGACTCCGAGCCGACCAGTCCTTCTGGTACCCATTAATGCCGAGCGCCAGACAGGGACCAACAAGTACCATATTTTACATTTATTAAGAAGATGGGAATGGTTTCTACTCCCGTTGATATTCGCAGAAAAATGGAAAAGAATTATTCACAACTAATCACGACGAAAACCAGGGTTTGATTCCCACATGGGCACAATGGGTGATGCCCATGCCGCACCGTGAAATTGCTGGAATGTTGCTAAAACCGGCATAAACCACGCTCAGTCACTTACTGACTTACATCTCCTTGATAGCTGGAATAACAATCTTCACAGTGCACCATGTTTATATGTTTCTCCCTGATAACATAAAAGTATTGCATCGGATACGAATCATATCGCTTTTAGGAATGCTTATATTGCAGTCTCTTTGTGTACAACTCTTCTGATGACAGCCTTCCAACAGGATGTCAGGTGTTTACATTGCTTTGACTGTTGGCAGTCTCCAGCTAATACACTTGATCTCAAGATGGACCCATGGCTACAAATAACTCTACAAAATCATCTGGGTTAAATTCAAAACATCCTAAATTCTCACAAAAGATGCTCATTCTGGACCTGGGCCAAAAGCTAATCTCATTTCAAAAATGAAACTAATTGTGCTGCTCTGTCTGCTGGGAAGCCTTAATTTTATTGTGAATTTTCCTGTGTCTCTGCATGTTGGATGACTGTGTGAACCTTTGCCCGCATTCAACACATTGATAAGGTTTGATTCCACTGTGAATTCTCATGTGATTCTGCTTAGTACTTGACTCTGTAAATTCTTTTCCGCATATATCACACTGATATGGCTTGATTCCACTGTGAGTCCGCATGTGTCTATGCAGACCGCCTGATCTCGAAAACTTTTTTCCACATTCAACACACTGGAAAGGTTTCAAACCAGTGTGAATCCTCATGTGTCTCTGCAGTTGACCTGATACTACAAATGCTTTCCCACATTCACCACATTGATAAGGCTTGAGTCCTCTGTGAATCCTCACGTGTCTCTGCAGGCTACTCGAAACGGGAAACTCTTTCCCACATTCATCACACCGATATGGTTTGATTCCACTGTGAGACCTCATGTGAGTCTGCAAACTGTATGAGTGTGTAAATCGTTTCTTACATTCAACACACTGATAAGGCTTCACACCACTATGACTCCTCATGTGTGTTTGCAGGCTACCCGAATCTGTAAATTTCTTCCCACATCCAACACACTGATAAGGTTTGATTCCACTGTGAATCCTCATGTGTCTCTCCCAGATTACTGTACTCTGTAAATCCTTTCCCACATTCAGCACACTTATGTGGCTTGATTCCACTGTGGTTCCTCATGTGTCTCTGTAGCTTGTGTGACTGTGGAAATTGTTTCCCACATTCAACACACTGATAAGACTTAATTCCACCATGACTCTTCAGGTGAGTCTGCAGGTCACTGGACTTGGCAAATTCTTTCCCACACACATCACACAGATAGGGCTTTGACCCACCATGACTTCTCATGTGCGTCTGCAGGCTACAAGATCCTGTAAATTCTTTTCCACATTCACCACACTGATAGGGCTTGATTCCACTGTGTTTCTTGACACCTCTTCTTTCCAGCTTGTCAGTAACAGACTGTTTCCTGAGATCAGCTGTTTCCTTCAGTTCTGTCTCACAGTTCGTGACTCCATATGTTTCAGGATTCTGTTCCTGGCCCTGTACTTCCATTATTTACCTATGGATGTTATGATGTTCACTGAAAACATAAAAGAGTTTTTACATGTTTTTATCAAGTGGATGCTTTTCCAAAAGATGTTTAAACGACACCACCAATAACAATTGGGGCTTTGACCACACTCAACTTCATGAAATGATATGCATCATGGTAAAGTAGCTAATACTTATCCATATCTAAAAGGTAACAGGTGGTGTGGAATGAACTTTGTGTAATCCCCAAACTGATATGTCTTCAGTTGATTTTAACTTCTATATTTCTAACGGACAAGAGCTTCTGCATGATAATGTAAAATAATACATTTGGATGTTTGGAAAGTTATCTATGTCACCAACTTGATTTTAAAATAAAATGAATGCATCCTTTACTTTGATCCCTTTCAGAGACCATACATTTTTTCTGATAATTGTGCTGGGGGCCCTTTCGCAAAGCGATCGCGATACGACTGTCGTAAGTCCATGTTAAAGTATGGGAGTTACGATCACCTTAGTGCTATGGTCACTTTTTAAAATGGGGCCCAGTATGTTCAATATTTTCACTGAACACTGAAATGCATACTCGTGGAAATTTGAATCATAAACTTTCTGAAATAAGGATACTAACAATATTTCATAATTAGGATTGTTCAATTATGTGTATTATGTATCCGAGGGGTGCAATAACTTTTAACACATACTTTGCAGTTGACTTGGTTGACACATGTCATAGTATCCCAATTGCGTAGATCAATGTCCATGCCGTTTATCACCCAACTAAATGGGAAGATGCCTCCAGTAGGTTATCCAGTGTAAAAGGTGTATGTATTGATGTCCTGTTAGATTACAATGTTTGCCTCCAGTTGTGTAATATTCAGTGTCCACCGTAATTAACTTCTGGATACATTTAAACGTGTACGTATTCTATGTTCTACGGGTTGTGGAATAGCCTAGTAGTTAAAGCGTTCGCTCGTCACGCTGATGATCCGTTCATTGCTGGAATATTGCTAAATGCGGCGTAAAACCATACTCACTCACTCTAAATACTTTAATGTTAATGAAGTGTACCAATGGTAGCAAGCACGCACGCACAAAGTTTATTGTTGAATGCAAATCTGAACACAGAATGTTCACCGTATGGTGCACATAATAGACTTTGTGTTCATGGCGGGAAACAAGTCAATGAGAAAGATGTATTTTCTGGTCTCCTGTTGTGCGATTTCTGAATATGAAATAATCACGATTCAAAGAGTATGAGGGACAATACATTACCCATGTATGAGAAGACAGGTGACTTCAACTTTACAAAACACACTTTTCCCTGCTATAACTGTGCATGTTCTTTCTATTAAGATGTCAAACAGCATCACAGGATTCTCACTAAGACGTTTTATGATCAAGAGTACAAAATGCAAGGCTTCTATATACAAATGTAGAATGATGTCAGATGGAATTCTATTTTCCTCCTTCGGACATATACTCCTGCATGGCTAATTTTCAGGGTTACTGTCTTTCCATGTGTTTGTGACGAAAGCCACTAGAAGTGCAGGACAAGCTCACCTTTACAATAACACCCGTATCATCACTACTGGACAGTGATTGATAAACACATGCTCACGAATAGATGATATGGTACAATTAACGCTGCTATTGACATTTATCTATTAAGAAGATGGGAAAGTTTTCTACTCCAGGTGATATTCCTAGAAAAATGGAAAAGTGTCATCCACAACTAATTACAGTCAGTGGACAGTAAAGAGAACTTTCTTTGAGAATCTTCTATTTTAATGGTACGACGATACAGCAATACAGTATTCTATCGCAATACTAAGCTCATGACCCAATACCTCGGTTAACAACTCCTATATCATAATACATATGACAGCATTTCACTACAAGTTATACTGATTGTGAAAATGTGTGCATAAAGACAGAAACTGTCACAAAGTACCAGAATCTTTTGAATTTCCAGAGGTGGAGTAAAACTGGTGGTTAAACGGGTTTGATACCCCACTGGGCACAATGTTTGAAGTCCATGGTTTCGTGTGCCGCAGGGTCATATTGCTGGAATGTTGCTAAAACTGACATAAACTATGCTCACTGTCATTCACTCACTCACATTTTCTGAATAGCTGGAATAACATTATCTTCACAGTGAACCATGTTTACAGTGTTCACGAATGGTGTTTCAAAGTAGCAGGACATTGGGTCCTGTAAGTTTCAGATGTCTGTCTGACCAACTGAAAATTCACAGGACCCATAGAATAAAAATTATTCACACATTTCAGATTTAACATTTCTTATAATTGGCATTGGAATTAACAAACGTAAACTTTATAAACAGCAAACAAGTGATCCGTGTCACATATGACAACTTCAGTCAATGTCATTGTGAGATATACAGTCGGACACTGGGGCCGGCGGGTTGTAGGCTTCCACCGGACCATCTGCTTGCCGGATTTGTCAGAGGGTCAGACGCTATACGTGAACACTGTGTTTAAATGTTTCTCCCAAATAATATCCCATCTTCGCTCTCTGAGGTTTAAAAAGAAATTATTCACTTGCAGAAAGGGAGTATGTTACTGTATATGAATAAAAGTATTGTATTGGGATACAAATCATATCACATTGCAGCCTTCCCTTCCGATAAAAGCCTTCCACCAGGATGTCAGATGTTTGCACTGTTTTGGCTGTTGGTTAGTCTCTAGTTAATAAACAGGATCTCAACACGTACCCATGGTTGCAAATGGGTCTAAAATCACCTGGGTTCAGCTCAAAATATCCTCAAGTCTCATAAGAGATGATCAATCTTGACATGGGCCAAAATTCAATCTCATTTCACAAATAAAACTAATTGATTCAACATTGTTGTGAAGGCTTGATTCTATTGTGAATCTTCCTGTGTTTCTGCATGTTAGATGATTGTGTAAACCTTTTCCCACATTCATCACACTGATAAGGTTTGATTCCACTGTGAATTCTCATGTGATTCTTCTTTGAACTTGACTCTGTAAATTCTTTTCCGCATATATCACACTGATATGGCTTGATTCCACTATGAGTCCGCATGTGCCTCTGCAGACCGCCTGATCTTGGAAACCTTTTTCCACATTCAACACACTGGTAAGGTTTCAAACCAGTGTGAATCCTCATGTGTGGGTGCAGTTGACCTGATACTGCAAAGGTTTTCCCACATTCACCACATTGATAAGGCTTGAGTCCACTGTGAATCCTCATGTGTCTCTGCAGGCTACCTGACACAGGAAACTCTTTCCCACATTCATCACACCGATATGGTTTGATTCCACTGTGAAACTTCATGTGTGACTGCAAACTGTATGAGTGTGTAAATCGTTTCTTACATTCAACACACTGATAAGGCTTCACACCACTATGAATCCTCATGTGTGTTTGCAGGCTACCCGAATCGGCAAATTTCTTCCCACATCCAACACACTGATAAGGTTTGATTCCACTGTGAATCCTCATGTGTCTCTCCAGATTACCGGACGCTGTAAATCCTTTCCCACATTCAGCACACTTATGTGGCTTGATTCCACTGTGGTTCCTCATGTGTCTCCTCAGGTTGTATGACTGTGTAAATTGTTTCCTACATTCAACACACTGATAAGGCTTAATTCCACCATGACTCTTCAGGTGAGTCTGCAGGTCACTGGACTTGGCAAATTCTTTCCCACACACATCACACAGATAGGGCTTTGACCCACCATGACTTCTCATGTGCATCTGCAGGCCACAAGATCCTGTAAATTCTTTTCCACATTCACCACACTGATAGGGCTTGATTCCACTGTGTTTCTTGACACCACCTGTTTCTAGCGTGTTTGTAACAGAATGTTTCCTGAGATCATGTGTTTCCTTCAATTCTGTCTCACAGTTCATGACTCCATATGTTTCAGGATTCTGATTTTGTTGTACTTCCATTATTTATCTATGGATGTTATGATGTTCACTGAAAACATAAAAGAGTTTTTACATGTTTTTATCAAGTGGATGCTTTTCCAAAAGATGTTTAAACGACACCACCAATAACAATTGGGGCTTTGACCACACTCAACTTCATGAAATGATATGCATCATGGTAAAGTAGCTAATACTTATCCATATCTAAAAGGTAACAGGTGGTGTGGAATGAACTTTGTGTAATCCCCAAACTGATATGTCTTCAGTTGATTTTAACTTCTATATTTTTAACGGACAAGAGCTTCTGCATGATAATGTAAAACAATACATTTGGATGTTTGGAAAGTTATCTATGTCACCAACTTGATTTTAAAATAAAATGAATGCATCCTTTACTTTGATCCCATTTAACATGGGCATTTCTACAAAGGCTAAATATACTTACATACATTTTTCTGATAATTGTGCTGGGGGCCCTTTCGCAAAGCGATCGCGATACGACTGTCGTAAGTCTATGTTAAAGTATGGGAGTTACGATCACCTTAGTGCTATGATCACTTTTTTAAAATGGGGCCCAGTATGTTCAATATTTTCACTGAACACTGAAATGCATACTCGTGGAAATTTGAATCATAAACTTTCTGAAATAAGGATACTAACAATATTTCATAATTAGGATTGTTCAATTATGTGTATTATGTATCCGAGGGGTGCAATAACTTTTAACACATACTTTGCAGTTGACTTGGTTGACACATGTCATAGTATCCCAATTGCGTAGATCAATGTCCATGCCGTTTATCACCCAACTAAATGGGAAGATGCCTCCAGTAGGTTATCCAGTGTAAAAGGTGTATGTATTGATGTCCTGTTAGATTATAATGTTTGCCTCCAGTTGTATAATATTCAATGTACACTGTAATCAACTTCTGGATAAATTGAAACGTGTACGTATTCTATGTTACACGGGTGGTGGAATAACCTAGTAGTTAAAGCGTTTGCTCGTCACGCTGATGATCCGTTCATTGCTGGAATATTGCTAAATGCGGCGTAAAACCATACTCACTCACTCTAAATACTTTAATGTTAATGAAGTGTACCAAAGGTAGCAAGCACGCACGCACAAAGTTTATTGTTGAATGCAAATCTGAACAAAGAATGTTCACCGTATGGTGCACATAATAGACTTTGTGTTCATGGCGGGAAACAAGTCAGTGAGAAAGGTGCATCTTTTAGTCTCCTGCTGTGCGATTTCTGAATATGAAATAATCACGATTCAAAGAGTATGAGGGACAATACATTACCCATGTATGAGAAGACAGGTGACTTCAACTTTACAACACACACTTTTCCCTGCTATAACTGTGCATGTTCTTTCTATTAAGATGCCAAACAGCATCACAGGATTCTCACTAAGACGTTTTATGATCAAGAGTACAAAATGCAAGGCTTCTATATACAAATGTAGAATGATGTCAGATGGAATTCTATTTTCCTCCTTCGGACATATACTCCTGCATGGCTAATTTTCAGGGTAACTATCTTTCCATTGTTTGTGACGAAAGCCACTAGAAGTGCAGGACAAGCTCACCTTTACAATAACACCCGTATCATCACTACTGGACAGTGATTGATAAACACATGCTCACGAATAGATGATATGGTACAATTAACGCTGCTATTGACATTTATCTATTAAGAAGATGGGAAAGTTTTCTACTCCAGGTGATATTCCTAGAAAAATGGAAAAGTGTCATCCACAACTAATTACAGTCAGTGGACAGTAAAGAGAACTTTCTTTGAGAATCTTCTTTTTTAATGGTACGACGATACAGCAATACAGTAATCTATCGCAATACTAGGCTCTTGATACAATACATTGGTTAACAACTCCTATATCATAATACATATGACAGCATTTCACTACAAGTTATACTGATTGTGAAAATGTGTGCATAAAGACAGAAACTGTCACAAAGTACCAGAATCTTTTGAATTTCCAGAGGTGGAGTAAAACTGGTGGTTAAACGGGTCAAACGGGTTTGATACCCCACTGGGCACAATGTTTGAAGTCCATGGTTTTGTGTGCCGCAGGGTCATATTGCTGGAATGTTGCTAAAACTGGCATAAACTATGCTCACTGTCACTCACTCACTCACATTTTCTGAATAGCTGGAATAACATTATCTTCACAGTGAACCATGTTTACAGTGTTCACGAATGGTGTTTCAAAATAACAGGACATTGGGTCCTGTAAGTTTCAGATGTCTGTCTGATCAACTGAAAATTCACAGGACCCATAGAATAAAAATTATTCACACATTTCAGATTTAACATTTCTTATAATTGGCATTGAAATTATTAACAAACGTAAACTTTATAAACAGCAAACAAGTGATGATGTGTCACATATGACAACTTCAGTCAAAGTCATTTGTGAGATATACAGTCGGACACTGGGGCCGGCGGGTTGTAGGCTTCCACCGGACCGTCTGCTTGCCGGATTTGTCAGAGGGTCAGGCGCTACACGTGAACACTGTGTTTAAATGTTTCTCCCAAATAATATCCCATCTTCGCTCTCTGAGGTTTAAAAAGAAATTATTCACTTGCAGAAAGGGAGTATGTTACTGTATATGAATAAAAGTATTGTATTGGGATACAAATCATATCACATTGCAGCCTTCCCTTCTGATAACAGCCTTCCACCAGGATGTCAGATGTTTGCACTGTTTTGGCTGTTGGTTAGTCTCTAGTTAATAAACAGGATCTCAACACGTACCCATGGTTGCAAATGGGTCTAAAATCACCTGGGTTCAGCTCAAAATATCCTCAAGTCTCATAAGAGATGATCAATCTTGACATGGGCCAAAATTCAATCTCATTTAAAATAAAACCAATTGATTCAACATTGTTGTGAAGGCTGAAGGCTTGATTCTATTGTGAATCTTCCTGTGTTTCTGCATGTTAGATGATTGTGTAAACCTTTTCCCACACATTCATCACACTGATAAGGTTTGATTCCACTGTGAATTCTCATGTGATTCTTCTTTGAACTTGACTCTGTAAATTCTTTTCCGCATATATCACACTGATATGGCTTGATTCCACTATGAGTCCGCATGTGCCTCTGCAGACCGCCTGATCTTGGAAACCTTTTTCCACATTCAACACACTGGTAAGGTTTCAAACCAGTGTGAATCCTCATGTGTGTGTGCAGTTGACCTGATACTGCAAAGGTTTTCCCACATTCACCACATTGATAAGGCTTGAGTCCACTGTGAATCCTCATGTGTCTCTGCAGGCTACCTGACACAGGAAACTCTTTCCCACATTCATCACACCGATATGGTTTGATTCCACTGTGAAACTTCATGTGTGACTGCAAACTGTATGAGTGTGTAAATCGTTTCTTACATTCAACACACTGATAAGGCTTCACACCACTATGAATCCTCATGTGTGTTTGCAGGCTACCCGAATCGGCAAATTTCTTCCCACATCCAACACACTGATAAGGTTTGATTCCACTGTGAATCCTCATGTGTCTCTCCAGATTACCGGACGCTGTAAATCCTTTCCCACATTCAGCACACTTATGTGGCTTGATTCCACTGTGGTTCCTCATGTGTCTCCTCAGGTTGTATGACTGTGTAAATTGTTTCCTACATTCAACACACTGATAAGGCTTAATTCCACCATGACTCTTCAGGTGAGTCTGCAGGTCACTGGACTTGGCAAATTCTTTCCCACACACATCACACAGATAGGGCTTTGACCCACCATGACTTCTCATGTGCATCTGCAGGCCACAAGATCCTGTAAATTCTTTTCCACATTCACCACACTGATAGGGCTTGATTCCACTGTGTTTCTTGACACCACCTGTTTCTAGCGTGTTTGTAACAGAATGTTTCCTGAGATCATGTGTTTCCTTCAATTCTGTCTCACAGTTCATGACTCCATATGTTTCAGGATTCTGATTTTGTTGTACTTCCATTATTTATCTATGGATGTTATGATGTTCACTGAAAACATAAAAGAGTTTTTACATGTTTTTATCAAGTGGATGCTTTTCCAAAAGATGTTTAAACGACACCACCAATAACAATTGGGGCTTTGACCACACTCAACTTCATGAAATGATATGCATCATGGTAAAGTAGCTAATACTTATCCATATCTAAAAGGTAACAGGTGGTGTGGAATGAACTTTGTGTAATCCCCAAACTGATATGTCTTCAGTTGATTTTAACTTCTATATTTTTAACGGACAAGAGCTTCTGCATGATAATGTAAAACAATACATTTGGATGTTTGGAAAGTTATCTATGTCACCAACTTGATTTTAAAATAAAATGAATGCATCCTTTACTTTGATCCCATTTAACATGGGCATTTCTACAAAGGCTAAATATACTTACATACATTTTTCTGATAATTGTGCTGGGGGCCTTTTCGCAAAGCGATCGCGATACGACTGTCGTAAGTCCATGTTAAAGTATGGGAGTTACGATCACCTTAGTGCTATGGTCACTTTTTAAAATGGGGCCCAGTATGTTCAATATTTTCACTGAACACTGAAATGCATACTCGTGGAAATTTGAATCATAAACTTTCTGAAATAAGGATACTAACAATATTTCATAATTAGGATTGTTCAATTATGTGTATTATGTATCCGAGGGGTGCAATAACTTTTAACACATACTTTGCAGTTGACTTGGTTGACACATGTCATAGTATCCCAATTGCGTAGATCAATGTCCATGCCGTTTATCACCCAACTAAATGGGAAGATGCCTCCAGTAGGTTATCCAGTGTAAAAGGTGTATGTATTGATGTCCTGTTAGATTACAATGTTTGCCTCCAGTTGTATAATATTCAATGTACACTGTAATCAACTTCTGGATAAATTGAAACGTGTACGCATTCTATGTTACACGGGTGGTGGAATAGCCTAGTAGTTAAAGCGTTTGCTCGTCACGCTGATGATCCGTTCATTGCTGGAATATTGCTAAATGCGGCGTAAAACCATACTCACTCACTCTAAATACTTTAATGTTAATGAAGTGTACCAAAGGTAGCAAGCACGCACGCACAAAGTTTATTGTTGAATGCAAATCTGAACAAAGAATGTTCACCGTATGGTGCACATAATAGACTTTGTGTTCATGGCGGGAAACAAGTCAGTGAGAAAGGTGCATCTTTTAGTCTCCTGCTGTGCGATTTCTGAATATGAAATAATCACGATTCAAAGAGTATGAGGGACAATACATTACCCATGTATGAGAAGACAGGTGACTTCAACTTTACAACACACACTTTTCCCTGCTATAACTGTGCATGTTCTTTCTATTAAGATGCCAAACAGCATCACAGGATTCTCACTAAGACGTTTTATGATCAAGAGTACAAAATGCAAGGCTTCTATATACAAATGTAGAATGATGTCAGATGGAATTCTATTTTCCTCCTTCGGACATATACTCCTGCATGGCTAATTTTCAGGGTAACTATCTTTCCATTGTTTGTGACGAAAGCCACTAGAAGTGCAGGACAAGCTCACCTTTACAATAACACCCGTATCATCACTACTGGACAGTGATTGATAAACACATGCTCACTTAATAGATGATATGGTACAATTAACGCTGCTATTGACATTTATCTATTAAGAAGATGGGAAAGTTTTCTACTCCAGGTGATATTCCTAGAAAAATGGAAAAGTGTCATCCACAACTAATTACAGTCAGTGGACAGTAAAGAGAACTTTCTTTGAGAATCTTCTTTTTTAATGGTACGACGATACAGCAATACAGTAATCTATCGCAATACTAGGCTCTTGATACAATACATTGGTTAACAACTCCTATATCATAATACATATGACAGCATTTCACTACAAGTTATACTGATTGTGAAAATGTGTGCATAAAGACAGAAACTGTCACAAAGTACCAGAATCTTTTGAATTTCCAGAGGTGGAGTAAAACTGGTGGTTAAACGGGTCAAACGGGTTTGATACCCCACTGGGCACAATGTTTGAAGTCCATGGTTTTGTGTGCCGCAGGGTCATATTGCTGGAATGTTGCTAAAACTGGCATAAACTATGCTCACTGTCACTCACTCACTCACATTTTCTGAATAGCTGGAATAACATTATCTTCACAGTGAACCATGTTTACAGTGTTCACGAATGGTGTTTCAAAATAACAGGACATTGGGTCCTGTAAGTTTCAGATGTCTGTCTGATCAACTGAAAATTCACAGGACCCATAGAATAAAAATTATTCACACATTTCAGATTTAACATTTCTTATAATTGGCATTGAAATTATTAACAAACGTAAACTTTATAAACAGCAAACAAGTGTGATGTGTCACATATGACAACTTCAGTCAAAGTCATTGTGAGATATACAGTCGGACACTGGGGCCGGCGGGTTGTAGGCTTCCACCGGACCGTCTGCTTGCCGGATTTGTCAGAGGGTCAGGCGCTACACGTGAACACTGTGTTTAAATGTTTCTCCCAAATAATATCCCATCTTCGCTCTCTGAGGTTTAAAAAGAAATTATTCACTTGCAGAAAGGGAGTATGTTACTGTATATGAATAAAAGTATTGTATTGTGATGCAAATCATATCACATTGCAACCTTCTCTTCTGATGACAGCCTTCCAACAGGATGTCAGATGTTTGCACTGTTTTGGCTGTTGGTTAGTCTCTAGTTAATAAACAGGATCTCAACACGTACCCATGGTTACAAATGGGTCTAAAATCACCTGGGTTCAGCTCAAAATATCCTCAATTCTCATAAGAGATGATCAATCTTGACATGGGCCAAAATTCAATCTCATTTAAAAAATGAAACCAATTGATTCAACTTTGTTGTGAAGGCTGAGAAGGCTTGATTCTATTGTGAATCTTCCTGTGTTTCTGCATGTTAGATGATTGTGTAAACCTTTTCCCACATTCATCACACTGATAAGGTTTGATTCCACTGTGAATTCTCATGTGATTCTTCTTTGAACTTGACTCTGTAAATTCTTTCCTGCATATATCACACTGATACGGCTTGATTCCACTGTGAGTCCGCATGTGCCTCTGCAGACCGCCTGATCTTGGAAACTTTTTTCCACATTCAACACACTGGTAAGGTTTCAAACCAGTGTGAATCCTCATGTGTGTCTGCAGTTGACCTGATACTGCAAAGGTTTTCCCACATTCACCACATTGATATGGCTTGAGTCCACTGTGAATCCTCATGTGTCTCTGCAGGCTACCTGACACAGGAAACTCTTTCCCACATTCATCACACCGATATGGTTTGATTCCACTGTGAGACCTCGTGTGAGTCTGCAAACTGTATGAGTGTGTAAATCGTTTCTTACATTCAACACACTGATAAGGCTTGACACCACTATGAATCCTCATGTGTGTTTGCAGGCTACCCGAATCGGCAAATTTCTTTCCACATCCAACACACTGATAAGGTTTGATTCCACTGTGAATCCTCATGTGTCTCTCCAGATTACCGGACTCTGTAAATCCTTTCCCACATTCAGCACACTTATGTGGCTTAATTCCACTGTGGTTTCTCATGTGTCTCTGCAGGTTGTATGACTGTGTAAATTGTTTTCTACATTCAACACACTGATAAGACTTAATTCCACCGTGACTCTTCAGGTGAGTCTGCAGGTCACTTGACTTGGCAAATTCTTTCTCACACACATCACACAGATAGGGCTTTGATTCACCATGACTTCTCATGTGCATCTGCAGGCTACAAGATCCTGTAAATTCTTTTCCACATTCACCACACTGATAGGGCTTGATTCCACTGTATTTCTTGACACCACCTGTTTCTAGCGTGTCAGTAACAGAATGTTTTCTGAGATCATGTGTTTCCTCCAATTCTGTCTCACAGTTCGTGACTCCACATGTTTCAGGATTCCGATTCTGTTGTACTTCCATTATTTATCTATGGATGTTATGATGTTCACTGAAAACATAAAAGAGTTTTTACATGTTTTTATCAAGTGGATGCTTTTCCAAAAGATGTTTAAACAAGGACACCACCAATAACATCTAGGGCTTGGACCATACACAACTTGATGAAATGGTGTGTATCATGGCAAAGTAGCTAATACTGAAGACAATTTTCCCATATAACCCACTGATAGTGAGCTATTATCCATACCTAAAAGGTAACAGGTGGCTTTAGTGGCAATTGGTATTTTTTAAACGTGGCTTTCCGGGCAGACACCCTTCAAAGAAATAATTGGTCGTATAATCATAAATAATTTGTAAAAGATGTTTGAGTTCCTACGTGAGGCAGCTTATTTGCGTGATCTGGGCTTTTCCCCAACAATTCAACTGGATTTCTAGATTTTACATAATGAATATTATTTACGGTAGCATGGACTAGCAAATAATGCATTGCCGGAGAGTCACATTCACATGATCACTCAACCATGCCCATTGCTGGATGAGCCACACCATTTTCAATCCTGTTTTTTTTAAATGTGGCTTTCCCAAGCTATAAAAGCATAACCCTTTGAAGAATTTTAACTTATGGGAGGGTCAAAATTCAATGTTTTATCCTTGTTTGAGATAAGAGCTATTGTGCTCTCAGTTATTATGTTAACATTCATGCTAAAAACCTAAAAAAAACTAAAACATTTTGAAGAATTACCATTTATTGCACAAATATATACTGAGTCAAAAAAGAAACTTCACAAAATGTAATTGAAAAATAATTAATAATTTTTCTCTGATGATACATCTATGTATCCGAAATGGGATCCCTATCTTTCGACTCAAGAAAAACGTTAGCAAAACCCACTCAAACCCATCCATTCGTCGTGCAAATGACGTTAGTGCCAAATCAGGTTTTGCACGTGCAGTCGATCACGTGATCTTTGCATCGAAGTTTTCTTCATATGCACGTGTTTGCACTGGCCTCAAGAATTGAAAAAACACTTTTAAACCACAGTTCTAACGGTACTTGAAATGCCACGATTGTCAAATGTGCAACGTGAAGCGTGCCGTTGGCATGTTGCAAGCGGGAAGATCAGTTATTGATGTCGTAAAGAGCAATAGGATGCAGCCGTCGTACTGTGTATGACTTGCGAGGTCGTCTACAACAAACTGGCACCACTTCTGATCACCCAAGGTCGGGTCGTCCACGTGTGACGTCACGAGCAGAAGACCGTCAAATCGTCCTACGTCACCTACGTGACAGATTTCTGCCGGCTACACGAACCAGGGCTGAGATGTTTAGAGGTCGACTGTCCTCACAGACCATTCGAAATCGGTTGCGGGCTGCCAATCTCCATTCTCGACGTCCATATCGTGGGCCAATATTGACGCCGTTTCATCAACGTCAACGTCTGCTGTGGGCCCAATGTCACCTCCGATGGACCCAGAGAGACTGGAATCGAGTCGTCTTTAGCGATGAATCCAGGTTTACCCTCAGATTCGCGGACGGCAGGCATAGAGTCTGGAAACGACGTTGTGAACGGTATGCCCAATGTTGTGTACAGGAAGTCGACAGATTCGCGGGCGGAAGTTGCATGGTGTGGGGTGCTTTCTGTGGGAACAACCGTTCCCGACTTCTGGTCATCCGTGGAAACCTCACAGCAGCTGCTTACCGCGACCAGGTGCTCACCCCTGAACTCGTTCCTTTCATGGCAGCTAATGGGCCAGGTCTACAGTTCCAGCATGATAATGCTCGGCCGCATACCGCGATGTTGACACAAAATTTCCTTCAAAACGCTGGAATCAACGTCATGGACTGGCCATCGAGGTCCCCTGACCTTAATCCAATAGAGCATGTTTGGGATGCACTTGGGAGAAGGCTTCGTGGACCAACCTCAGAATTTGCAGGAACTTGGCGCTGCCTTGCAAGAGCAATGGCGCAGAATCCCCAACCACGAGTTCACAAGCATCAGGCAGTCGATGAGGAGACGGTGTTTGGCAGTGGTGAATGCGCGGGGTGGCCATACACGATATTGAACTGAGAAATTTCGCATTTTTATTCTTGTGACTTGACATTCTGTATACCCATGTTTTGGAATGGCGGTGTAGCCTAATGGAACTGATTATGGCACTGTCAGTGTATCGAGTACATCACACAGATCTCAGGAATGAAATAATAACAATTTAACCGTCTTACCATCTCTTGTTCTTTTATAGTGCCCTGAAGAAAGAATGTGAAGTTTCTTTTTTGACTCAGTATATTTAAAAACAGCTACACATGTGATGCATAACTCTTTCCATTTCATAGATGTTTTTAAGCAAAATTAATGACAAGATTTTCCAAAATCAGTAATTTTGCCGCTGTTGCAGTAATGACATTTTGATTAAAAGTTAAAACATCACAATATATTTGATGGAAAATTCTTGTCCAAACTTCTCTGCTGATGCAATACACCAATCATACAAACCAAAGTAGTTTACATGAAGGCATAAAAATACAGAAAATACAAATAAAATGTTCTTAAGAGTAAAAGCTGAAATTGCCCTTTTCCCCAGAATGACCCATTAACATGCATCATTTTATCTCAGAACATAAGTTATCATATGTTAACTAAACCAACAAAGAACAAGTCACTAAAACAATTTCAATCCATTGTGATGCTTATTTGAAAAAACCCAATGGTATTGATTCCCTTACTCATTGTGGCTTTCACAGTGATTCATGGCACCGAGGTTTGTACCTGAAATGTGGCTTTAGCAGCAATTGGTATTTTTCAAATATGGCTTTCTCTCGGGCGGACACCATCAGTATCACAGGATTCCCACTAAGACCTTGTACGGTCAAGCGTAAAAAATACACGGCTTCTATACAGAACGATGTCAGATGGAATTCCATTTTCCTCCTTTGGACATATGTATGGTTACTTTTCAGGTTAACTGTTGACCTGTCTTTCCATGTGTTTGTGACGAAAGCCACTAGAAGTGCAAGACAAGCTCACCTTTACAATTACACCCGTATCATCACTAAGGCTGTTACGATTCACTCGCATATTCAGTGAATCGAACCGCAGCCCTTCATGAATTCAATTTGTTATTCGTGGCCACCAGAACCGAATATTCATGAATGTCCTTTTTCAAAATGAGATATGCAAGAATGAAATATGTACTAGCCTTGTAGTACCGCAAGTCATGTTAGTTTTCCACACATGTTACTGTCAGCTATAACTATTAGATACCAAATTTGAGTGTCATGAGATCACTGGTTATTGCTGTGACAAATTAACACTGTCAACATGGGCATTCAATATCGTGCATTAATCACTTAACTTCAATATTGTATTCATGAATAATTATTTGTATTCGTTACCCAATATTCGTGATACGTATCATATTCGCCACATAGTGTATTCGTTACAGCCCTAATCATCACTATTGGACAGTGACTGATAAACACATGCTCACGAATAGTTGATACAGTACAATTAACGCTGCTATTGACATACATTTATTAAGAAGGTGGAAATGTTTTCTACTCCTGGTGCTTCGCAGAAAATTGGAAAAGTATTATCCACAACCAATTACAATCAGCTGACAGTAAAAAGAACTTTCTTTTGAGAATCTTGTTTTTTTAATGGTGTGACGATACAGCAATACAGTATTCTATTGCAATACTAGGCTCATGATACAATACATCGGTTAACAACTCCTACAAGTATATCACAATACATATGACAACATTTCACTACAAGTTATACTGATTGTGAAATCGTGTGCATAAAGACAGAAACTGTCACAAAGTACCAGAGACCGCCTAAGTGGTGTAGTGGTTAGAGCTTCCGCCCAGAGATCAGAAGATCGCGGGTTCGATCCCCGACCAAGTCATACCAAAATACGTTAAAATATGGTACTTGTTGGTCCCTGCCTGGCGCTCGGCATTAATGGGTACAATAAGGACTGGTCGGCTCGGAGTCAGTATAATGTGTCTGAGTGGGGTATTCATGCTTCACTGTGGCATGGTATCTCAGTGGGCTAGCACTATAAAACCAGCTTCAGTCTGGGCTAGTACAAGCAGCCGCACATACAGATACACACGCATGCACGTCGTCATATGAGTGAAATATTCTCAAGCACAACGTTAAGCCTCACCTCACCTCACAAAGTACCAGAATCTTTTGAATTTCCAGCGGTGGGGTAAAACTGGTGGTTAAGCATTCGCGAATCAAGCCGAATACCTGGGTTTGATACCCCACATGGATACACTATGGGTGAATCCCATGGCTTCATGAGCAGCAGGGTCATATTGTTGAAATGTTGCTAAAACCGGCATAAACCATGCTTACTGTCATTCACTCACTCCCATTTCCTGGATAGTGTGAATAACATTATGTTCACAGTGCACTATGTTTACATTTTTCTACCCAATCATATCCCATCTTTGTTCTCTGAAATTTAAAAGAAAATTATTCACTTGCAGAAAGGGAGTATATGTTAGCGTATATGAATAAAAGTATTGTATCAGGAAACAAATCATATATTGCTTTCATGGATCCTTATCACATTGCAGCCTTCTCTTCTGATGACAGCCTTCCAACAGGATGTCAGATCTTAAGTCTCTAGTTAATAAAAAAGGACCTAAACACGTACCCATGATAACAAATGGCTCTAAAATCATCTGGGGTAAATTCAAAACATCCTCAATTCTCACAAGAAATGATCAATCTGGACAAGGGTCAAACTTCAATCTCATTTCAAAGATGAAACCAATTGATTCAACATTGTTGTGAAGGCTGGGAAGGCTTGGTTCTGTTGTGAAGCTTCCTGTGTTTATGCATGTTAGATGAGTGTGTAAAGCTTTTCCCGCATTCAACACACTGATAAGGTTTGATTCCACTGTGAATTCTCATGTGATTCTTCTTCGAACTTGACTCTGTAAATTCTTTCCCGCATATATCACACTGATATGGCTTGACTCCACTATGAATCTGCATGTGCCTCTGCAGAACGCCTGATCTCGAAAACTTTTTTCCACATTCAACACACTGGAAAGGTTTCAAACCAGTGTGAATCCTCATGTGTGTGTGCAGTTGACCTGATACTGCAAAGGTTTTCCCACATTCACCACATTGATAAGGCTTGAGTCCACTATGAATCCTCATGTGTCTCTGCAGGCTACTTGAAACAGGAAACTCTTTCCCACATTCATCACACCGATATGGTTTGATTCCACTGTGAGACCTCATGTGTGACTGCAAACTGTATGATTGGGTAAATCGTTTCTTACATTCAACACACTGATAAGGCTTGACACCACTATGAATCCTCATGTGTGTCTGCAGGCTACCCGAATCTGTAAATTTCTTCCCACATCCAACACACTGATAAGGTTTGATTCCACTGTGAATCCTCATGTGTCTCTCCAGATTACCGGACGCTGTAAATCCTTTCCCACATTCAGCACACTTATGTGGCTTCATTCTACTGTGATTCCTCATGTGTCTCCTCAGGTTGTATGACTGTGTAAATTGTTTCCCACATTCAACACACTGATAAGACTTAATTCCACCATGACTCTTCAGGTGAGTCTGCAGGTCACTGGACTTGGCAAATTCTTCCCCACACACATCACACAGATAGGGCTTTGACCCACCATGACTTCTCATGTGCATCTGCAGGCTACAAGATCCTGTAAATTCTTTTCCACATTCACCACACTGATAGGGCTTGATTCCACTGTGTTTCTTGACACCACCTGTTTCCAGCTTGTCAGTAACAGAATGTTTCCAGGGATCATCTGTTTCCTTCAATTCTGTCTCACAGTTTGTGATTCCACATGTATCAGCAACAGAGCCAAGATTCTGTTTCTGGCCTTGTACTTCCATTATTATTTATGGATGTTATGATGTTCACTGAAAACATAAAAGAGTTTTTACATATTTGTATCAAGTGTATGTTTTTCCAATAACAACTGGGTCTTGGACCACACAGAACTTGATGATATGAATTGTATCATGGTAAAGTATCTAATACTGAAAACGATATTCCCAGATACCATTACGGTATACCGAACCGAAGGCAAAATACCACGGTTCTTCTTATACTGCAGTATACCGTTTCATCCCTACTAACTCTTGTCCCATATTCCTAATTCAAATGTGCACTTCCCATTTACCCTGTCCAGCAAGATGTTCATAATGGACAGAAAGTAAATACCAATACTTTTGATTTTACATGCTATAAGAGAGACAATATTAACAGCAACTTGTGTGTAAAGATAAATAATGCAGATTTTAGTGAATTTCAACATGTGGCACATTGTATTTGGGATAACACTTTCTCAGTAATTCATGAATTTCAATAGATAGAATTTAATACAAAAACACATAACCGGTATGTATAATTCATTAGTATCCCTATGAGTGAATTGTTGCATGTTTGACTCAAAGTATGTGAGAAAGAACTCTGAATGTAACTATATATGTTTTATTAGCCAAAGCTGTTTTGAAATCCCGGTAGACAACACTGTCCTGATGGAACAATAAATGTTAAGTGAATTTTCCACTTTATTTAGCCTCACTATTCTTCCTCAGCTACCACTTACTGACTGACTGAGTTTGGTTTTACGCCGCTTTTAGCAATATTCCAGCAACATCACGGCGGGGGACATCAGAAATGGGCTTCACACATTGTACCCATGTGGGGATTCGAACCCGGGTCTTTGGCGTGATCCTCAGCTACCAAGGCAGATTACCAAGATATTAGTCCTAAATGCTCTGACCTTTCCAGAGGTAGTTCCTTTGGAAAACAAATGCCAGCACCTCATAGGCTGATGCAACACTTCTTCAGAGAAGACATTACATGTTTTTACTGCTTTTACTGCTACAAAATATCCATGTAATAAATTGTTCAACAAAGTCAGATGGGTCAAATACAAAAGAAACAAAAATCTAAAGAAATGATCAACCAAAACAGACCTATCATCAATTTCATCTTTAACTTGAAGCATGGCATTTATTTGACTGCTGGGGAAGTTCATTCCACTTCATTCCTCAGGTGACATCACAGATTCAATGTTCCTGTGCCTGCTCAGAAGCTTTGATCCCATTGTGTTTCTTCATGTGTGTTTTCAGACTACCTGATGATTTGAATGTTTTCCCACATTCAGTACACTTATAAGGTTTCATTCCACTATGACTCTTCATGTGTCTCCGCAAGTGACATGATTGTGTAAAAGTTTTCCCACATTCCTCACACTGATATGGTTTGATGCCACTGTGAATCCTTGCATGTGACTTTAGGTGAAATGATCGTGTAAATTCTTTCCCACACTCAGCACATCGATAAGGCTTTAATCCACTGTGAATCCTCATGTGTATCTCCAGGCTATCTGATTCTGTAAATCCTTTCCCACATTCAGCACACTGATAAGGTTTTATTTCAGTGTGAATCATCATGTGTCTCCGGAGGTGACATGATTGTACAAATGTCTTCCCACATTCAGCACACTGAAAAGGTTTCACTCCACTGTGAGTCCTTACATGGGACTTGAGATGAAATGATCGTGTAAATTCTTTCCCACATTCAACGCACTTATAAGGTTTGATGCCACTGTGAATCCTCATGTGTTTCTCCAGGTTACCTGACTCTGTAAATCCCTTCCCACATTCTCCACACTGATAAGGCTTGAATCCAGTGTGAATCCTTATGTGTTTCTGAAGATTACCCGACTCCGTAAATCCTTTTCCACATTCAACACACTGATATGGCTGGATTCCACTGTGAGTCCTCATATGTCTCTGCAAGTTACTTGATTCTGAAAATTGTTTTCCACATACAACACACTCATAAGGCTTGGTTCCAGTGTGAACCTTCATGTGTCTCTGAAGGTAACGTGATCGTGTAAATTCTTTCCCACATTCAACACACTTGCAAGACTCAATTCCACTGCATTTCTTAACATCACCTCTTTTCCGCTTGTCAGAACAAGATGGTTTCTTGACAGCAGTTGGTTCCAGCATGTGAGGAACAGATTGTTTTTTTCCATCATTTGTTCCCGGCCTGTCAGTAACAGATTCTTTCTTGACATCTTCTGTTTCCAGCATGCCAGTAACAGATTGTTTTGTGACATCATCTCTTTCCCCCAGTACCTTCTCACAATCCATGATTAGGCTTGTTTCAGTAACAGAAACAGGATTCTGTGGTTGGATCTGTATTTCCATAATTAGCTTGTGGATGTTAAGGTGTTTGCTGAAAACATAAAAGAGTTGTCACTTTCCAGTATTGTGTCAAGGCATTTCCAAAAGGTCTTCAGAACACCACCAATAACAACCACAGTCTTCATGACTGGAGGATTACAAAATATTGTGACGAGTAAGTAATGAAGACGGGGACATGTATGCCAATACTTGTTGAGCAAAATCAATCCATTTCAGAAATGAGGAATATTAATTACAGAAATGACAAAATTTGCTAAGAAACATCCATATTGTTTGCAATAAATATGATTGTTATGAGCCAACAGTAAAGTGGCTGCAAGTTTGTATGTTCATATATTACAACTATAAGAATCAAATGTATGCTAGGCACATAAAGAAACTGTGCACACAAAAATTTCAAATCTAAATTTATCAAACCTGTGTAGACACATAATGATTTAAACTCAGAGATTAGTGACATGTATCCAACATGCATGCACGTGCCACGTTCCGTGACGTCAGTGGGTTCGTCCTTGAGACGTGCAATACGTTGTTGCACGTGCATTCCGGGAATGCAAAACAGAGCAAATGAATGCCACACAATACTGTCACTTTGGAAAGCTCAACCCCTGCCCTTGCGATCGTTCAAAAAATTTAACGGCTATTGAAACGCATAGCATGCCAAGGCTCTCGTCTGCACAACGTCATGAGGCCATTGGGATGGTCCGTGGGGGAATGTCTCAACGACAAGTGGCTGCACATTAACGCTACCAGAACACACATGACGTCATCAATCGGCCACGTTCTGGACGTCCACGTGTAACAACGTCAAGACAGGACAGACGGATAAGGGTGACCCATCTTCGCCACAGATTTCAGACTGCAGTGATGACTGCCCGAACCATCCCAGGACTTCGTCGTATCCACCCCAACACAGTTCCACAACGTTTACGTCATCACGGGATCAGACCACGACGTCCCGCCAAACGGCCTATCCTGACACAACGTCATCGACAAGCTCGCCGAATGTGGTGCCGAAATCATGTCCGCAGACCCTTGTTTTGGTGGAGAAATGTTGCTTTTACAGATGAGTCCAGGTTTAACATTTCCCATAGTGATGGATGTTAAGCGTGCCTATAGACAGCGTTGGAGAAGCGTTATGCACAGGCCTGTGTCTTGGAGAGGAATCGCTTTGGTGGTGGTTCCGTGATGATTTGGGGTGGAATAACAGCACGCCAAAGAACTCCTTTGGTGATTGTTCAGGGCAACTTAACTGGTGTGGGCTACAGGCATCAGATTCTTCGACCTGTGGCAATTCCTTTTCTGCAACGTCATGGCCCTGGGTTAACATTCCAACAGGACAATGCCCGCCCTCATACGGCAAGGGTTGCTATGGATTTCATGCAACACCACAACGTTGACTTACTGCCTTGGCCTGCAAATTCACCGGATAGAGCATGTTTGGGACGAGATGGATCGACGTCTACGTCGTCTTCCTCATCCGCCAGATAACGTCCTTGACCTTGCAACAGAACTTGAGAGAATCTGGCGTGACATCCCACAAGCCTTCCTTGCACGTTTGATAGGCTCTATGCATCGTCGATGCACTGCTGTTCTCAATGCCGATGGTGGACATACCCGTTATTGAGCTTGTGACATGGTCGTTTGACCCCTGTCCCGCTTGTGGACTCGTGACGTCATTGTGATTGACTTTTCAATTGAAATTCTCCCGACTTGTTATGGTCTCATGATCCCTCCATTAAAGTTTATATGTACCTTTGACATTGTTATCACACTTATCAACTGGGATAATATTTTGACAATGCAGTTTCTTTATGTGGCTAGTATACATCTGGTATTAACAGCAACATTGTTCACAGGTAAATATAACTGTTTTTGTTACAAAACATGATCCCATAGATAGCCATGTCAACTTCAGAAGTTCATGAAAATTTGTAAATGATAGCAAATACTCCTTTAGTATCCCAAAAAATGATATACACTAGAAAAAAGTTGGGGACATTTTATTTAGGCTAATATTTTTGGGGGGAATGAACTTGTACATTATTCCATTCACAGCCTGTTCGGCAGTCCATGCAAACACGCCAATTTTGTGTTTTTTTTCCAAATGTGAAATGGACACAGCCAGGGTAAGAATTTACATTACAGTGATATGTGTCAGTGTGTTGCTGTACATTTAAGGGATGAAAAACAGACTGAAAGTTGTTTTGATACTGTCTAAAACTCAGTTAAAAGTATTTTGACATGCTGCATCTGTCACATCAGCCATGCAAAATGCCCAGCCTGACAGCAGAACATCAACGTTGTCTCCAGTTGTGCAGCCAACACTTGCGAAGGGGAACATGTGAGTATAGAATGAGCCACATTCCTTCTTCATCGAGCTGACAGCACTATACACAGTCCAGCAGCAACAGTCTTTCACGTATCCATTTCACATCTTTTGAGGTACAATCGAGCATGCTCTTTCTAGCAACATTTCAAATAGCATCATAAAACCCTTGCTCAGATGTTTGATCAAGTTTACAATATTCAAGGCCACAACAATGCTTTCAAAATGCTTTATCGAAGGCATGTCTAGGACTTGTTCAAATCTGGTTCTAAGTGACAAAATAATGTCTGCAGCAATTCCCCCTCTCTCTCTCTCTCTCTCTGAGTGTGTGGGCACATGCGCAGAACAGTTTACTTGCCTTTGTATGTTTTTGTGATGGGTGATACCCATCGGGGTATTTTTAGTGTACAATGAAATCAAACACTAACAAATGATTGTGCAATAAATACCACATTCAAACTGCAACATGGAAACATATATGAGGGGAGACAATGAAGGCTCATGACCGAATATATGTGTTTCGTCAAAACTCATTTTCTGCATTAAATGAACATGATACATTTAACTGAAAACAGCTTTCAGGAAAAACTTACGAAAATGCTCAACTAATTTATTTCCCAAATAACTTATTTAATCACAGTGATTTGGTATCTTCCCCGTGGCAGTAACACATATTCATAATGACCATCTCTCCGCAACGAATGTTGACATGGTTAACCTCAACCAACTCCCATTTGTGCTGTTCATCACGTTCACACACATACATGTATTCTCATTGAAGTTATTCATATTCCATCTACTGTCTTCTTCTGACTTCTCAGCTTTGGAGTACCCACCCACACTCTCCCTGAACATCATACAGCTAGCAAATAGTAGTGACAAAACCGTTTCCAAAAGAAATCTCTGCTAAAAGAGTAAAATAATGAACGACAACAAATCAGCCAACAGATTATTTCATTCTTGAATTAATTATGACTCACTGTTAACTTTTACTTTAACAAACTGCATTATAATGGACATCAAACAACAGTCATCATTGTTAATAATTCAAAGAAAACCACCTCTTTTACCCCATTGAAATAATCCAGTAGTTGACCATCATCACACTCTTGTAGATTTTCAGTGAAAGTCCACTTTGATCTGAAGTCAATGCTCATGTCAGCCATTCCTTTGTTAAACATGTCAATGTCGACCATGGAACCAAAACACAAAACAAGTGTTAGCCACTATTAAACATCGCAATGTCCCCCACCGCAAAAGAAGAATGAAACACAGGTATATCATATTAACTAGTTTTCATTTTTTGGCCACATAGAAGATTACCTTTTGTGTGATGTAGATTTTAGTCATGGTCACTTCTCAGAATCTTCTAACTATGAAGATATTTCAGGAATGTGGTAGATTTGAATGTACAGATGCAGATGTACACATCCATTGTCAATATCAGTGTCTATTTGGGCTGGGACGGGTCCAAATTTTCTATCCTACTACCGTACCTCCTAATAGCCTCCTATCCTACCCTGATACTCGATATGTTAATTCCTGACATCAAATTTGTAAGAAATGGCAATATATTCTTCATTCTCGGAGGCTTAAATTAGTTGCAACATTTCATAAGATATTGCGTTTAAATAAGTTTAAAAAGTGGTAAAAGTGTCATGATGAGGTCAAGGTCACCCAAACTGACTGGTGTCTGTGTAATCCTCCAGTGTGGACTGTCACCAAATTTGAAGACATTGGGTACAACAGTGCATAAGACATCGCTTTAACAATAATCGTGATGCACGTACATACCTACGGATGCTGCTGAATACAATGTCCCCGTTATGCATTGCTGCGGGAACAATAATCTGTCCAACTGCTAGGCTCTTAGCATGTGAATACTTCTTGCTCATATTGTCTTGCTTCTTGATTTGTTCATGGCTAATCATCCCGGGATGAAGATTTCACAATAAAACTTCCGGGAACAAAAAACCAAAAGTCATCACAGATATGAACCGTATGCCACCAATAGACTAGGGCAGACATTCCAGTATATCAACCAGAACACTCCTTAAAAAAACAGAGGAAAATCAGCAGCCAGAGGCAGAGGCCAACACCATAATGCTTTTTGAAGCAAACACCAGATGGACTACCCTCGGAAATGAACACTGACCTCCAAACAGGGGATAGTGTACATGTGGTGTGAACTCAAACGTGCACATTTCACTGCTTGAATACCCCTGATAGTTATGTGGCAGGCAAGACCAGTCAATATTTGACAAATTGGTATGGCATTACCATAGATCAATGGGTGTTACCTAGTATTGCAGGGGTAACTTTAACTCTTAATTGAAGTGCCTGCACAGTGGGATACCCCAAAACCAATAATGTTTAATGTACAGAAATGCTGGAAATTGATTCTGAGATAAGTTTTATGTTGTAGAAAGGTATTATTGAACCTTGCTCCCATTCATCGGGGGAGTACATTTCAAACATATTTGTGAGAACCAAGAAGGATAACTCCTTGCGACTTATTCTCAATCTCAAATCTCTAAATGGCATTGTTGATTCACCTCATTTTAAGATGGATACTTTCCAAACAGTATTAAATGTAGTGCATAAGGGCTGCTACTTT